GTTCCTTGCTTCTGGTGAAGGGGAGGCGGGGATGAAGAAGAGCAGGAGCAGGTGAGAAGGGTGAAGAGGTGGAGCAGAAGAGAGGGAGAGAGAGGGAGAGCAGGAGAGAGGAGAGAGAGGAGAGAGAGGAGAGAGAGGAGAGAGAGGAGAGAGAGGAGAGAGAGGAGAGAGAGGAGAGAGAGGAGAGAGAGGAGAGAGAGGAGAGAGAGGAGAGGAGAGAGAGGAGAGAGAGGAGAGAGAGGAGAGAGAGGAGAGAGAGGAGAGAGAGGAGAGAGAGGAGAGAGAGGAGAGAGGGAGAGTTTGTGCTGCACTGTGGTTTCGAGAATTTGCCCAAAACATTCTGGACGGTGTGCTGTGCTTGTGTGCCTGCACTTCAATGCAGTCATTTCCAGGAATTTTCAAATGTGTTGTTGACTCACACATGCTCCGCTGCAGGTACATGCATGTACTTCCGTGCGAATGTGGACCTCATACACAGAGTACCCCACCATCCTCACTCTCCCCACTCTCCCCACACTCCCCACTCCTCCCACACTCCCCACTCTCCCCACACTCCCCACTCTCCCCGCACTCCCCACTCCCCCCACCCTCCCACTCACTATCCATCCTCTCCACTCCCTATCCATCCTCCCCACTCCCCCCACCCTCCCGACCAGGTACGACGCAGCTCTCCTCCTCAAGGCGCGCGGCCCGGCTGCCCTGCGTTCTCAGCCACTGGGCTTGCTGGTGCAGCTGCTGCAGCTTGCCATCTCGCACCGGCACTGGATTCATCCTCGCTCCACTGCCTGGCAGCCCCTCACCTTCACCCTCCCGCAGGAATATGGTTTTGAGGCGCCTCAAAACTAGACTAGTGCTGCTGCTGCAGCTCGCCATCTCTCTCCCGCCGCCGCTGGCTGCACCCCCACTCCACTGCCTGGCAGCCCCTCACCTTCACCCTCCCGCAGGACTATGCTCCTGGGGTAGCGGGCGATGGGGGGAGTGAGGGGGGCGAGGCTGTGATGGCTGCTGATGCTGGTGGCGACGGTGAGGGTGGGGAAGTTGGGGATGGTGTGAAGGGAAGGGCTATGTGAATTTTCTGGCTACTTGTGTAGGACTCTGATCTTGCTTAGTTGAAGGTTATCTCCATTGACATTGTATTTCTAGGTTCTGTTATTGCGCTTATATCATTAGAAGTTGATAATTCAGGTGATTTGGACAAATGTACTAGAGACCGAGTCTTTTTCTATATTTAGCTGGGCAAGGATCATATTCAATAAAGAAGCTTAGTAGTTTATGTATGGGCTTCCACAATTATCTCGTTTCGATGAGATCGGTGACAGCAAATCAATGTTCCTGTAAGGGTCATGGTGCTTGTTGCGATGCTACGACTCGGCCCTTGCGCAGCACGCGCAGCGGCCCACTTAGACAGCACAGACCGCGATCCTGTCCCTTGTCTTGCAGGAGCCACATTTATAAGAAAGTCTCTGATTGCAGAGTCACTCAGGTCTGTCCACATACATTCATCGTCAGTGTTCGATTCTCGAACGTCCACTCCGTTTCGCTGGCGTCGTCAGCCTTTCGCTGAGGTGGACATCTCTGTTACCGCATACCACGAATAAGCCGCCTCGTCCCACTTGAACAGAAGCGCCGGCGCACCGTGGTGTCACCATACCACCACACGTCCAAACCACCGAAGCAACCAATCAGCACACTAACATTTAGTCGCTCGCTTGCTCGTGCAGTTCGCGAAGTGGTTATTTCCATTCATTCAGAGCTTCGCCGGCGATGCCTACACGCGCCAGCCAGGCGAAAAAATCACTTCACATACATCACATGCACCCACCATCCGCGGCGCGGGTCCGCTGACCACCACCCCACCATTTTTTGGCAGAGGCGAGGTGAGACCAGGGCCCAGTTCTGTTGCCGCACTACTGGTGATCATGTACACACCAGACTGGATTTGCTGGGCTGGTCTGGTGTTTTCGTTTCTGTGACCTCCTGCCTCACCTCGTCTGCTCTCGGAGCCTCTGGTATCAACTCTCCCCTAGGTTCTTTTGACCCTTTTCCCGTTTCCCTGGCTTTCTCATCTTTATCACCAGCACCACTTGGCTGACCGCGTAGTACACGCACATCCATCCACCCCACCACCAGACGTCCATCCACCTTCAAAACGTCGATGTCCACTCGCACATCCGGCACCCAATAGATTCCACGATTCCACATCTTCATAGGCCGTCGATGGGCTCGGCCAGGCGGTCCCGCCAATCCCGTCTGTCCGTACGACCTGCCTCCGTTTCTCCGTCCGCCCGTCCGCCCGTCCTCCCGTCAGCATGCCGCATGCGCGCTCTTTACCGTCGATTCTAGAACCAGGCCTCCTGCTGATCCAACTTCACACCTGCCGCACAGCTCTCTCCTCGAATCAAACCCAACCAAATCAAACCGACTCGTTTCTTTCATTCTCTCCTCCCGCTCCTCTTGCATGCCCCACCGAGACAATTCGAGTCAGAATGAGCGGCTCGGCGACCTCGCGAGCTTCTAGCGGTGGCATTAGAGAGCAGTCGAAAATCGAACGGTGCGAACTAGAGATCGTTCCATTTGAGCTCCCGTAACGGGCGGCTATCTGGAACTCGCGACCTTGAAGTGATAAGGCAGCGTCCCGCGAGAGTTTATCATTGCCAACAGGGGCCACGCCAACACTTAGTAAACGGTCAATAGTCGAGTAGTTAAGAGGCCGTGGGAAGCCGTGAGAAGCGGTAAGAAGCCGCGCACGTAGCGCGGCCTCGCCAGCACCTATCACTCTGCGGCCTGGCGCTGCCGGTGTGCCAGTCCAGCCGCGGTTACCGCCATTTGTCGTTACACACATAATGGAGAGCTCCTTCTCTCCGCCTTCTCTCCGCGGAGTGAATCTCGTCGTCGATACTACTGTGACCTCCTAGAGTCGGCGCGTTGCTGACACATTCATTCACCAAGATTCACCTTCGTGCGGTCGCTGCCTGCCACGTCCACTAGTACTACTACTGCCAGGACTAGTGCTGCTTAGCGGGATTCACGCGTGAAACGTTCGATCAGCGGCGGCGATCGCGTCTGGATGGCGGCGGGGACTGTGGCAAATGGCGGGAAACAGTCGAAGCTGTTGCTGTCGGTACCCTCTTATTGGTCCATTTCTCGTAGTAGTTTCAGTGCCAGAGGGAGTGGCAGCGGCAGCGGGAGCGGGAGCGGAAGCGGGTCGATGCTGCTGCCTCGTTGGCAACACTGGCTGCTGCTACGAGCGGCGAGGCGACACGGCGTGGTCGCAGTGGCGCGTGCGACGCTGTTAATCGTGCTGCTACTGCTGGCGGCGCAGCAGCTCATGTTCATGCGAACGCAGGACGCTTCGCTCGACGCCCCTGCGACGGTTGCGACGCCGGCCGGGTTACGCCGCGACGCCGGCGGCGGCAGCGTGGCCGAGCGACGAGCGCACATGCTGCTGCTTTCGCGAGGTGGGTTGGTCGCGTTATTCGCCATTGCTTGAACAACCTCGAGTCACGGGAAAGCACTATGACTCGATGCACGGAGCAGGCTTGCGTCGACTGAAAAGGGCTTTAGTTGCTCACGGTGACACTAGTCGCGGCGATGAGAACTAGTCTGTGTTCTTTATCTCCTATCAAAACGCCTCCAGGACAATTACTACTAGAAGGTTCTCCCAAATTAGTAACTAGACTGATAGAGACTAGTTCTCTCACGCGAATCGCCATTTCTCACGAAGGTTCCCTTTCTTCCCCGTGCCCCTCCCTCCCCCACTTTCTCCTCCTTCCCATCCCTCTCTTCCTGCCTCTTCGTATTCACTCCTCTGTCCCATCGGCCCCGCCCACCCTACTCCACCTCGTAGGTTCGCAACCGTCAGATCTAGACACCTTGCCCGCCGCGATTGCGCTGGCGCGATCCGCCGTTGGACGATCACTGCTGCACGGCGACGGGAGAGAAGCCGACGGAGAAACGAACGACCGTGTCCTAATCCCGGACAGGCGCGGGTGGGACGCCGGGAAAGAGAGCGGCAGTGAAGGTGCGAACGGAGGTCAAAAGAGGGGCGCGAGAGAACAGGGAAGGGATAATACGGAAGGGGGTGATACGCGAGCGGGGCCAGGAGAGGAAGAAGGAGAAAGAGAAGGAGATGGAGATGGAGATGGAGGGAGAGGAGGTGGGGTGGAAGGCGCAGAGGGGTCGGCAGCTGCAGCGGCCGAGAGATTGTCGGTGGAGCCACACCAGTTGAGAGTATCGGCTGCAAGAAGCACGTCAGGAGATTCAGGAGCATCAGCAAAAGCAGGTGCTGCAGGTGCTGCAGGTGCTGCAGGAGGTGTGGGAGGTGCGGGAGGTGCGGTGCGCAGAACAGGCAAAGGGGCGAGGAGGGAAAAGGTGCGGCGGTTGAGGCAGTGTCTGCTGGCGGTGCAGGCGTATCTGGGGGCGGCTGTGGAGTTCAGAGACAACGCGATGGCGGAGCTGAGCAGGCGGGAGATGAACCGCTGCCTGCTCCTGCTCTCCTCCTCCTCCCCGCTTCCCCTGCCGCTTCCCCTTCCCCTCCCTCTCCTCAACGCCTCCGCCTCTGCGCATGCAGCTTCGGCGCTTGCTGATGCCCTGGGGACGCTTGATGGCGGCAGCAGCACCAGCACCAGCAGCAGCAGCAGCAGCAGCAACCGTCATGGTGTTGGCAGCAGCAGTGGACGGGGCAGTATTGCGGGTAGCAGACGTGGCAAGGAGAGAAGCGCGACAGCATCTGCGGAGAGAAGCAGTGCGCTTGTGAAGCTGGAGGAGCGGCTGGGCGAGGCTGGAAGGCAGGCGGATGCAGTGGTGCGGCAGAGCATGCTGTTCAGCCACGTGGCCTCCACCGCCGTGCCTGCGCCGCTGCACTGCCTCTCCCTCCGCCTCACCCTCGCTGCTCAGAATGCCTCCCTGCGCCGCTCGTGGCTTGCTCCTGCTGCGCCTGCTGCAGCAGCGCAGGTGGGGGCGAAGGAGGGGGGAGATGAGGAGGAAGGAGAGGGGGAGGATGGGGGCAAGGAAGAGCACGTGGGGAGTAAGGCGGGTGTGGTGAAGGGTGGAGAAGGGGAAGGAGGAGGAGACGGAGGAGGCAGAGGAGAGAAGGAAGAGGGAGACAGAGAGAGCGAGAAAGATCGGGAGAGGGAGAGGGAGAGGGAGAGGGAGTGGAGGCGGCGGGTGGAGGATCCATCGTTGTACCACTACGTGGTGATCACAGACAACGTGCTGGCAGCCATGGTTGTTGTTAACTCCACCGCCTCACACGCCCGCCAGGTGCGCTCCTTGAGACTGTTGCAAAGAACACGCCCCCCATGAGCGAGCGCTCTTCACCCTTTGAGTCTGCCTCAAAAAACGCGCCTGCACTGCACTGCACGCACCCTTGAGAGTTTTGTTTGTGCTGTCTCAAGAGACTCAATGAGCTGTGCTGGCAGCTATGGTGGTCGTCAACCAGCCGTCTCCCTCCTCTCCCCTCCCCTCCCCTCCCACCCCCCACCACCAGCCATGGCGCCATGTGTTCCACGTGGAACGGACCGCAGAAACCGCGACAGCCAGGGTGAGGGGCTCTCGTTTCCGCTCCCCATCCCTACCCTCCCCATCTCTCCCTTGCTCTCCCACCCCTCCCCTCCCCCCACCAGCCATGGCACCACGTGTTCCTCGTTGTAACGGACCGCAGCAACCGGGACAGCCAGGCTGATCGGCTCTCCTTTCCCCTTCCCATCCTTCCAAACCCCACCCCTCCCCTTCCCCACCAGCCATGGCGCCATGTGTTCCACGTGGTAACGGACCGCAGCAACCACCCAGCGTTCACAGCATGGTTCAGCGCGAACCCGCCCGCGCATGGGCGCATGGCGTGGGAGGTGCTGTGCCTGGACGACTTCCCCTGGCTGCCCTCCATCCCCCTGCTGCACCACCTGCAGCGCCCTGCCATGAGGGACTTTTACTTCCGCCACTCTCCTGTGGCAGCCGCTGCTGCTGCTCTTGCACCTCCTGCTGCTTCTGCCACTGCTGCTGCTGGTGTTGCTGATCGTAAGCCTTCCAGTGGTGCTGCTGATGCTGCTGGAAGTGCCGCTGCCACTGGCAATGTCAGTGTTGGTAATAGCAGCAGCAGCAGCAGCGGCGGCAGCAGCAGCAGCAGCAGCGGCGGCGGTGGCAGCAGCAGCAGCAGCAGTGGTGGCAGCAGGGAGGACTATGGGACGCTGAGGTTCCGCAACCCCAAGTACGTGTCGCTGTTCAACCACCTGCGCTTCTACCTGCCGCGCATCTTCCCCCGCCTGCACACGCTGCTCTTCCTCGACGACGATGTCGTGCTGCAACAGGACGTCTCACATCTCTGGCAGGTACGACCATAGGACCCTCTGGCAGGTACGACCATAGGACCCTCTGGCAGGTACGACCATAGGACCCTCTGGCAGGTACGACCATAGGACCCTCTGGCAGGTACGACCATAGGACTGTGCCTTTGGCAGGTACGGCTGCGTGAAGTGAGCCGGGGTATGAGGTGCCGTGGTATGGATTTATATTTTTTTAATCCTTCGGGTGACTTTGCGCCTTCAGCAACACCTCTCACACCTCTGCCAGAGGTACCCTTGTAACTCATTTCAACGTCTCGCCTTTGTTGGCCCCATCATCACCCTTGTTGGTGCTTGTCGTTCCGTCTCTGCATTCTCTTCCATCCTCGAATCCACCTACCAACCCCTCCCCTCCCCTCACGTCCACCTGCTCGTTTGGCTGCTCTCCCTCCCTTTCGTTGCAAACCCAGGTGCCGCGAGAAGGGGCAGTGAACCTAGCGGTGCCCACATGTGTTGGCCGCACGTACCACCGCTTCAGCTCCTACCTCAACTTCTCACACCCGCTGCTGCAACCACACACCAGCAGCAGCAGCAGCAGCAGCAGGATTGATGGGAGCAGCAGTGGCAGCAGCAGCAGCGGAGGTGGGGAGCGGTTGGGTGCGGGTGTGGATCCGAACGGGTGTGCGTGGGCGTTTGGGTTCAACCTGTTTGACCTCAAGGCGTGGAGGGATGGCAGATACACCGACAAGTACCACTTCTGGCTCGCACAGGTAACTCCCTCAGATGAGACTAGCTTTGAAATTACTCCTGAGATTTCTTGAAAGTGGCCTCAAGGCGTGGAGGGACGGCAGATACACCGACAAGTACCACTTCTGGCTCTCTCAGGTAACTCCTCCCTCTTTCTCCCACTCATTTTCTCTCCCTACCCCTCTCCCACCCCCTCTCCCTTCCCCTCTCCTTCTTCTCCCTTTCCCTAATATCCCCCAACCACCCCTATCTCAACCCTTCACCTTCTTCCCCCCTTCCTCCCCCTTTCCCCCGCTTGCCAGAACGAGAACCGCACGCTGTGGCAGCTGGGGACGCTCCCAGCAGGCCTGCTCACCTTCCTCCACGCCACGCGCCCACTCCCGCGCTCCCTGCTCGCAGCCAGCCTCGGCAGCCGCAGCACGGTTCCTCTCAGTCGAGTGCGGTCGGCAGCGGTGCTGCACTACAACGGGCACGCCAAGCCATGGCTCGACCTAGCGTTTCCAGAGTACGCGCACCTGTGGTGGCGATACGTGCCACTGCACCACCCCCTGCTGCGCGCCTGCTACTTCTACCCACCGCCTCAGGTGGCGGCGGCAGCGCCGTTGCTGCCTGTGGCAGCTGCTGGAGCTGCTGCTGCTGCTGGAGCTGCTGGTGCTGCTGGTGCTGCTGGTGCTGGTGCTACTGATACTGGTAAAGGTGGAGGTGAAGGTTGGAGCATGCAGTAACCGGCTTCAGTACCTACCTGCCAGCTCCTCCCTTCCTCCAATGCCGTCTTTCACTACGAGAAACCTACTCGCCATAGTAGCATAATCGCAACACACTCCTCGCTACTATAGCCGAGCGTCCTACCTACACGGAGATCCAGTATTGCTGGCCACATACTCGAGTCTTGTGGCAGCATCAGGCTGCCTAGCCTAGCTTTCAGGTACCGTACGTACCATGATGCTACCTCAATCTCAGGTGGCATGGCATCTTTCGGCAGGAGGTGAGTAACCAGCCACAATGCAATGCAAGTCAGCTGGGGCTTGGGTAGGTAGGTAGGTAGTAGGTACAGTGTAGGGGTCAGGCACTGGCTGTGCTGACGATGCGATTCGTGGGTCTGTTCTGTTACGATAGGTAGGTAGCCTAGTTATGCAAAGGAAATAGGGAGGAAATAATTGTTATTGCTAGCCTAATGCTGCAATTGTACGTTGCAGGCGTAATCATTTTTAGTGTCTGTAACCACATTTGTTGGCCACAACCTTTGTTGCTCAACCAGCAAAACCACCGACACCGTAAACAACATTCATCAAGTCATGCAAAACAAGGCAGCCAGCTTGTCTTATCGTAAATACACAACAAGCACACACAACCACCACATAGGGTACCGTTATCTTCTCTACCCACAACACGCTGCCACGCAGCATGGAATGAGCCCTGCCATGACAGTTGCAATTGCTCGCACCTGCGACCAGCACAACGGACCAGCATACAGCTTGTTCGAACCCGTGACCTCCCTTTCTCTCCCCCTCACTCACTCCTCGTCACTCACATCGCCCAGCAGGACAGACCCAGCAGCAGGTACTGGCAGCGGCACCACGGAATTGTAATGCTCTCCTAGACCATACGCATGGCGGTGGAATGACACTCGGATAGACGAAGGACCAGAGGAACCGGCGCCGCTGCTTCCTCCTCCTCCTGCCGCTACGCCATCTGCTGCTGCTGCTCCTGCTGCCCCTGCTCCGGTTGCCCCTGCCCCACCCGCTGTTGCTGCTGCCTCTGTGGCTGCAGGAGCGTACTCCAATCCGAGGTTGACATCTGGCAGGTCGGCCGAGTAGACGATGATGTGGCGCCGCAGCGACTGCGCCAGCGCCTGCAGCTCCAGCTGCCCGCCCCATGCTGCAGTGTGCTCCACCTCGTGACAATAACGAAGGAACATCCGCCTCTCCTCCGGTTCAGAGTCCCACTCAGCAGCAGCAGCAGCATCTGCTGCTGCAGATGAGAAGCTTCCGTCTGCTCCTGCTCCTAGCCCCCCTGCTGCTCCTGCTCCGTTATCCCCATATGGGTGCAGCTCACCTGAAGCCAGTTCCGCCACCACAAACGGCATGAAATCCTCAGCATGCGCACGCATGTACGCCGCCGCCACCGCTCTCAACCCCCAGAAATCCATCCCATCTCCGCCAGACCCACCCACCGCTCCCGCCGCGCCCAGGCCCATCCCCTCACCAGCCATTCCCACTCCCACTCCTCTCAACTGGTCTTCTACGGCACGGAACAGGCAATGGCCGTCCGGCTTGACTTCTCTTAGGGTGAGTCCGAGGGGGGATAGCTTCGCCGCTAGCCGTTGCTCCTCCACCACTCGCTCGCTCACCAGCCCATCCTGCTCCTCCTCGATCCGCGCCGCCCGCTCCGCCTCCTGCCGCGTCTTCTTCTCCCGCCGCTTTTGCGCGCGGGACACTCTCGTCGCTTCTGCTCCTGCTGCTGCTCCCTCGCTTCTTGCTCCTCCGCCTCCGGCTTCCCCGGAAACGGCAAGACCGGCGACGCCCGCGGCCGCCGCGTCGGCTGCTGACGTGGCGGCAGATGCGAGCTCGTCGAGTTCGCGCTTATGACGGGCTTTCATCTCGGCTTCTAAAGCTTGAACCTTCTCCTCGGCAGCTTTCTTCTTTGCCTTTTGCTCCGCCTTGCTGCCCTTCGCCGCCGCTTTCTTCATCGCTATTTCCTTCTTTACTAGGTCTTTAGCCTCCGCCCTGGAATGCGCGCGGGTAAGATCGGGTAGCGACGGGACAGCGACGAGACGCGTTGGGCGGGATGGTTGAGTACGTTCGGGGAATAGAGGCGATTTGAAGGGAGAGGTAGAAAGGAATGTGATGCTCCTAGGCTGCAAAAGGAAGGACATGATGAGTCGGTCTTGTGTGCGACGTCAGGGATTGGAGCGAATGATTCAATGGTAGAACGACGGATCGATTGTCGTAGCCCGTTGTGTTTCAAGTCGCCTCAGAGTGTGTTTTAAGTCGACTCAAAACACATCTCGAGAGTGGAGAGGGCGCTTCGAGCGTATAATGAGGATCGATCGTCGCAACGCAACCCGCTGACCGATCCGCCAGCAAACAAGCACGGGCGAGGGAAAGTAAAGGGCAACAAGGGGGGGGGGGAAAGACGGGAAATAAGCGCGAGGCTTATCAACTTACGATCCGGTCTCGAAGCGCGAAGCGAATATTGGCAAGGCATTGATGAATCTCGGGACCTACCTGTGCCGCTCCAGCATTTCTTCTCTCGTTTCCTGTGGACGAGCAGGCGCAGCGGGAGCCGCCGAACCTGCGCCTCCGTCCGCGCCATCAGCAAGCACCGCTGACGCCTGGGAGGCAGCTTCGGAATCTTCCGCCATGGCAGAGAGACTCAGGACACTCGAGAGAATTGAGCGACTATTCGTGTCACGCAGGGTACAATTCTAAGTGTGCGTAAAAAAACAGTATCTCTGTGGGTGGAAAAATGCCCAGAAATGAATGTTCAGCGATGCCCACTCCAGATAGTATTGGGGGACAGGGGTTTGTTTGTGGGTGGAAGGCCGAGGGAGGGATTGTGTGGGATTCGACGGGAAACAGATCTATATATGCCTATATATTTTACCGGTAATGAGCTGTCCACAGAGAATTCGTTTCGGGGGGCCGCTTGTATCGAGTCGAACCATTTGCGTGTGTCCCCGTTCGCTGCAGAGCACCCCCATCTATTTGAGCTGTTCTTGTGCTAGAGTCCGCTCGCAACAGTCACATCCTGATCAATCAAACATTGGTTTTCCCAGTAACAGCCCCCTCAAACCTCGAAACAAATCCCCAAGGTGCAATTCCTAGGCAAAACCAGGGCCAACCAGGAATCGCACAAGAAATCCTCAACGCCATCACCTATGCTCCACTCCTCTACTTTCCCCTCTGCGCGCCAGCTTGCATTCCGCTTCGTCGCGCCGCGCCAGTTCGCCTCTCGCGCATTTCCTAAGGGCAGAGTGCTGGCGGAAATGGCGGGAGGCTCCGCGCCGAGCACCAGCGCGACCCACGACGAGGCGCAAGTGCCGAAGAAGCAGGTACAGGCCCGCAAGGCCAGGCCATGCAAGCATACCACTCCCTAGTACGCCGATCCCTGCATTGGCTCCATCCCGTTCTCCATCCCGTTACCTCACACATGCTCTGAAATCCGCGCACTTCCCCTCTCCCCATCCACCTCCTCGTTCCTCCTCCCCCCTCTTCCCCTCCCCACTCCCCGTCCCCCCCTTACCCTCACCGTCCCCCTCCCGTCTCTCCCCCGACCATCCGCCCTCCCCCGTCGCCCCATTGCCCCTAGATCTCGTCTGGCCTGGCCAAATTCGGCCCGACGGTCTTCGCGGAGTTCTCCGCGCTCGCCGCGAAGCACGGCGCCGTGAACCTCGGCCAGGGCTTCCCCAACTTCGACGGCCCGTCCTTCGTCATCCAAGCCGCGCAGACCGCCTTGCAGGCCGGCAACCTCAACCAATACGCGCCGGTCGCGGGCGTCCCCGCGCTCACGGCAGCCATCGCGTCGCGCTTCGCGGAATCCACGGGCGTGGAGATTAAGGACCCCGCGCAGGAGATCACCGTGACGTGCGGATGCACGGAGGCCATAGCCGCGACGATCTTAGGATTAGTAGACGAGGGCGACGAGGTAGTGGTATTCGAGCCGTTCTACGACTCTTACATCGCCATGCTCTCTCTCGCCGGCGCGGTCGTGCGCCCCGTCACGCTGCGCCCGCCCACGTGGCAGCTGGACGAGCAGGCGCTGCGCGCGGCGTTCCAGCCGCTGAAGGAAGGCGCGCGCACGCGAGCAGTGCTAATCAACACGCCGCACAACCCCACGGGGAAGGTCTTCTCCCGCGCGGAGCTGCAGCTGATCGCGGAGCTGTGCCAGCAGCGAGACACCATCGCGGTATCCGACGAGGTCTACCATAAACTCGTCTACAAGGCGCCCTCCCCTGCCGCCGCCGCCGTCGCCGCCGCTGCCACCGCCGCTGGTCCCGATTCCACTGCTGCTGCTGCTGCTGCTGCTACTGCTGCTGCTGCTGCTGCTGCTGCAAACGAGGGCCACATCTCAATAGCGAGTCTCCCAGGAATGTATTCCCGCACCGTGACCCTCAACTCCCTGGGGAAAACTTACTCGCTGACGGGCTGGAAGGTGGGGTGGGCCGTGGCGCCCCCGCACCTCACATGGGGGCTGCGGCAGGCGCACTCCTTCCTCACGTTCTCCGTCGCCACGCCTCTGCAGCACGGCGCGGTGGCGGCTCTAGAGGCGCCGGAGCCGTTCTATGAGGAGCTGGAGAAGGAGTATAGGAGCCGCCGGGACGTGCTCGTGCAGGGGCTGCTTGACGTGGGCTTCACTGTTTTTGAGCCCGAGGTATGGGTGCTGAGCGGTGATGTAGGGTGATGTGATGTGAGGTGGTGTGCTGTGCGGTGATGTGCTGTACTGTGAGGCGATGTTTGCTTTCTCATAAGTCGTTTTGTCCGCTTGCCATGGCACTGCTCCTGCCTCATTCCTCCCTCATCACCATCACCATCCCTATTGCCGCCACCACCACCACCACCACCACCACCACCACCACCACCACCACCACCACCACCACCACCACCACCACCACCACAACCACCATGGCAGGGCACATACTTCATAATGGCGGACCACACGCGGTTCAACAAAGGCTCCGACGTGGAGTTCTGCCGGTACCTGGTGGAGCACGTGGGTGTGGCCGCCATCCCCCCCAGCTCCTTCTACCTCAACGTGCACGAGGGCCGCAACCTCGTGCGCTTTGCCTTCTGCAAAGATGAGGACACTCTGAGGGAGGCTGTAAGAAGGATGAAGGAGAAGCTTGTTCTGCCGCCAGCCGAGTGTTGAGAGAGTCGACTCAGGACTCGTCTCCTTGTACGTGAGCGCACGCATACGAGGACCGCAGCGCAGCCTCAGGTGTGCTTTGCCTTCTGCAAGGACGAGGACACTCTCAGAGAGGCCGTGCGGAGGATGGAGAAGCTTGTTTTGCCGCCAGCAGCCTCCTCGTGATGCTGCTGCTGCTGCTGCTGCTGATGATGATGATGATGCAGGGTCGGTCGGACGTGTGGTGCGATGCATATAATTGTAGGCGATCTTAGATTCAACATCCTCCGAGAGTACTTTATTTGTTAGGCGATCTTTCGGTTGCCTTACCACACACAGGAGGTACCATAAGCCTACCTGCTAAAGCAACAAGAGAGCAGAGCACACGGTAGGAGCCTGCAATGTAAGGTTGCAGGGTGCATGCACAAGTACCCAGGCTCGAGTCTTTCTAAAACAGCAGGCCTCTTTCTCTCCTACCGGTCCTGAGGAGTACAGTAAAGGAACACAACAACATAGCAATGAATGCTGGTCTGTTTCCATCCACCTTCTTGCACCACCGCAATGCATTACGCAACACACCACACCACACCACACCACAGGCACCGACCGTAGTGCCAACCCAACCCATCCACTTGGACCACAACCACAACGTCCATGGTGCAGCGTGCTCAGCTCACTGCCCAGCGTGGCACACAGCATCACACCACACACACCTCACCTGAGCCCAGTTGCTCCAAGGAAATGAAGCCCTTTCATTCAAAGACTTTTGACATGTGTGCCTTTTTGAGACCATGTGCAGAAAGAAAGTGTCCCCCCCCTTTGCGCTGCATTCTTTTATCATTAGCAACTCAGCAAGGCGCCACCGAGCTGACAAGCCAACACACATTAGGGAAAAGGAATAATAACACATAGATGGGGCAAAGCAAACTCACTACTCATAGAATAGAGACAACACAGCAGGGCAGGAGACAAGGCAGAGGCCACAACTAAGGCATGACATGGCACTTTTACTAAATATAAACCAGGGCAACTACGAGGCAACACTGAGCAGGAAGAGGAACGGGACAGCACCAATACTAATAGAGCCCCTAAAAGGCCATGGGTGGGATCTAGACTAGCATGCCTATCATCATGGTAGGGAGGGAACTAGGCCCCTGAAACGGGCTATGTCGGTAGTATGTGCTACCGGTACCGTATGTTAGCGTGGATTGGTGGGTGTGAATGAAGGTCCAGCGCTTGCAGACGAGAAGAGAACCCGGGTCCCCGACCCGATGCAGCGTGGTAGTGTTGAATGGAGTGGTTAACGTAACGTGGCTGTTTATTCTGGAGCGTTGCTGATACCATACCACTTGCTAGCTAGCTAGCCTCGATCACCTAACGAGGCTGCGAGGGATAGTGGAGGTGGACGGGACGGGAGGATATGTACGCATATCGATAGATTAGAGGATTATAGAATGCATGGGGAATGGGATAAAGGAGATGACAAGGAGGCGGGATAGATGATGAAAGTGGGAGAGGGGTGGTGGGATGTGAGGAGGGATGCGATGAGAGCGGCATGGCAACGGCGAAAAGAGAGAGAATGCATGTATGAAAGAGAGAGGTACGGTACCTCGGGCCGTTGAGGTGACTGAGGAGGAGGCGCGTCACGGATCAGAGCCGTTACAAGCTCAGGAGACACTTCCAAACACCTCTAATACCGCCGTCCATACGGTATGAGAGAGAGAGGCGCCTCATGCACCGTGTGAGAACGCGCACTGGGCAGCCACGGCAAGGGGCAGAGCTGGAGAGCTGGAGAGCCGGAGAGCCAGAGAGCTGGAGAGGTGGAAAGGCAGAGAGGTGGAGAGCCGGAGAGCTGGAGAGGTGGAGAGCCAGAGACTCCGAGAAAGAGTCAAAGAACCAGAGAGCGAGCGAGGCAGGGAGCCAGCCGCATGGCAGCAAGGCAAGAGGTAGAGGGCATCGGAGAGGGGGGGAAGCAGCGTGTGGGAGAGTCAGTGCAGGCGGCAGAGGCGGCGCGGCGATCCACTTTCTGTTGGTAGATTGATTGTTTGAGAAGTCTCAGAACCAACCGACAATGGCGAGGGAGGGAGGGAGGGAGGGAGGAAGGGAGGGAGGAAGTGCGTGGGCGAGTGCGTGGGCGAGTGAGTGGCGAGTGAGTGCAGGAGGCAGAGGAGGCGATCCATGATCATGTCCCTCTCACTGCCACTCTCTTTCATTCTTGCTAGCGCCTTTCTCTAGCACTGCTGCCCTTCCAACCATGAGCAACGAGGGCAGTGCGTGGGCGAGTGAGTGGGGAGTCAGAGCAGGAGGGCGAGGGCGAGTCAGTGCAGGAGGCAGAGGAGGCGATCCATGATCATGTCCCTCTCACTGCCAAACACCTCAGGCGCCACCTCCAGCGCCAGCAGCAGCAGCTCCACTGTCACCGTCACCTTGCCATGCCTGCCGCCGCCCCTGCCCTTGCTGCCGCTGCTGCAACTCCCCTGCCGTTTCGTGCCACCTAGATGCTGCTGCTGCTGCTGCTGCTGCTGCTGCTGCTGCTGCTGCTGCTGCTGCTGCGACTGCCGCTGCTGTTGTTGTTGCTGCTGCTGCTGCTCTTGGTCAGGGAGAGTTTGAGGTTGATTTTGAGGCCATTGGTCCTGTTTCCAGCCGTGCTGCTGTTGCTGTTGCTGCTGCTGCTGCTGCTGCTGAAACTGAAGCTGTGCCTGCCCGTTGAGTCCATACATGAGCCCATTCTGCTGCTGCTGCTGATTCATCAGTGCATCCTCCTCACTGATTCCTGTCCGTCCTTTCCCCTGCACTTGCTGCCACTGCAGCTGCTGCCACGACTGCTGGTTCTGCTGCTGCCAACCGGCCATTAAGCCCATACCCATCTGTTGTTCCTTCAACTCATCCTCTCCTTCCCCTCGCTCCTTCTCCTCGTCTCCTTCCACCCCCTCCTCCTCCTCATCCTCCTCATCCCCCTCCTCTCCCCCCTCGTCCCCCTCTCCTTCCTCGTCCTCCTCCTCTTCCTCCTCCTCCTCGTCCTCCTCTTCCTCCTCTTCCTCCTCTTCCCCCGCCCCCTCTACCCCCTCCCCCTCATCTTCCTCTTCCTCCTCGTCCTCATCCTCCTCCTCTTCCTCCCCCTCTTCCTCCTCCTCCTGTCCCCCCTCCCTTCCCACACCATCACCATCAAAATCATCTCCCACTTCATCCTCTTCCTCCTCCTCCTCATCCCCCTCCTCACCCCCCTCCACCCCACCTTCCCACCCCCCCACTCCCAAAAACCTCCCTCTTCGTCTCCTTGCGCCCATTCCTTTCCCCCCTGCTCGCCCCATCCCCAACCCACTCCCTCGCGCCACACCAGCAGCTGCGGCACTTTGCCCTAAAATGGCCAACCCAAGCGGGCAGAGGGACGGGGAGGAGAAGAGCAGCGGAGCCGGCGGAAACATAAGCCCAGACCCAGACCCGTGGGCAGTAGGGTTGCAACCAGGCAAATCCCCCACATGTAAACTCGAAAACCCAAGCTCCAGATTCCCCTCTCCTCCTCCTCTCCCTCCTCCTTCCCCCCACCCCACCGCCGCCCCGAACACTCCTCTCCTGTCCGCAGCAGCGCCCGTGACAGCATTGGCGCGCGCGAGCAGCGCAAGAGGCGGAAGGGGCAGCCTCCCCCCGCCGCCCTTCCCGTCCCCAGCCCCTCCCCCGACCCCCCAACCACCACCGCCACTACCACCACCCCCCCTGCTATCAGCAGCAGCAGCAGCAATGGCGCCAGCAGCAGCAGCAGCGGAGCGGCCAACTGCAGCACAGGAGCGGATGATATTAGTAAGATGCAAGATAAGCGCCCTCTGTACCACCTCTGCTGCTTCCGCGCTCACTCCGCCCGCCAGCCCGCTCTCTCTCATCGCCACCTGCCGCATCCGCACCAGCAGCGCGTCACTCGTAGGTAAACACCCCCCGGATCCTCTTCCTCCCCCTCTCCCCCCCTGCCTCCTCCGCCCTGCTCTCCTCCCCCCTCTTCCTTCTCCTCCTCCTCCACCTGCTTCCCCTTCTCCTCCTGATGATAATAAATGAGGCGCGACATCGTCTGCACCACCAGCACCACCAGCGGCGGCGGCGGCGGCGTCCGCCGCGGAGGACTGGCGGAGCGGCCAGTTGGCGGAGTCCAGCGGGCACCCCAGGAGCGTGTGCGTGAGGGGCATGCCGGGCGGGGGGCGCGGGGCCACGGGAACCGCCGCGCCCCCCCGACTGGACGCGAGGAAGGGGATCCCCAGCGGGGCGGACAGCGGAACGGACAGAAACGCATCCAGCGCCGCTTTCTGCCGCGCCTCCGTCTCCCTGCTGATCTCTGGCGCGCCTCCCATACCCCCTGCCGCCGCCGCCGCCGCTGCTGCTGAGGCTGCTGCCGCCGCTGCTGCTGCTGGTGTTCCTTTCCCGTCCTCTTCCTCCGCGTCTTCCTCTCCTCGATGGATTCTCTCCTCCTCTTCCCCCTCGCCCGCCTCTCGTTTCACCTCCTGGTCCCCCCACACTCGGCCCAGCGGTAGCCCTAGCAGCTCCGCCTGTTGCTCCCCCATCCATGCTTGCGCCAAGCACACAGGGGGCAGCGGAGCCAGTCCCCCTGGCGGCGGAAGGGGCGGCCTGCCCTTTCCGCCAGCCCCAGCGCGCCGATCCCCCTGCTGCTCCCCATGCGGCTCCCCACGCGCGGGCCACAATCCCGCAGCCCCCCCAGATGCGCCGCCGTCCCCCCAGTCCCCTTCCCCGTCTGCGGGGAGAGCCCAGTCCCCGTCCTCCATCCCTTCCCCCCTGCTGCTATCCGCGCCAGCCGCTTCCATTCGCGCGGATCTTCCGCCAGCACCTGCGCGCCCCATCTTGAGCCGCTTCAACGGGCGCGCGGAAGCTTCCCCGCCTGCGCCGTCGTGCGCATCCCCGCCTGCGCCTGTTGCTGCGCCGTTGATGCGCGCATCCGCGGAAGCCATGCGCGAGCCAGCCAGTCCCGCAGGAGGCGGCGTCGCCGCCGCGCCCGGGCCACCCGCAGCGGCAGCCACGGCGCCGGGCGAGGAAGGGTCGGCGTACTCGTTAAAGGCAGCATCGTCAGCAGCAGGGCTCGCTGGGACGATTCCGTCTGAAGTCCTTCCATAAATCCTCTTTCTTAGGCCACCATCAGACCCTGCTGCACCCGAATCGCCAGTACCGGCGGCACCAGCGGCACCGGCGGCGGCGGCGGCGGCGGCTGCGGCGGCAGCAGCGGCGGCTTGTTTCCGATCCCGCGCTGCCAGGCCCCGTTGGCGCTTGGGCGAAGGCTGCGACGGCGCATCGTATCCGTTCTCCCGATCCATGCCCGCGTCTTGCGCGAACGGTGAGGCGGAAGACGGGTCGAAGCCCGCCAACGGCGGAAGAGCGCCCTCAAACGCGCCACTGGACATCCCCCCCGCGCCTGCGCCTGCCCCGCCTCCGCCGCCCGCGCCTTGCTTCCTCGCATCGCCTTCCGCGCTGCCTCCTGCCGCCGCCGCCGCGTGGTCCGCGATCCCCGCAGCCCAGGCGCTGGCAGCATTGGCGGCGGCGGCGTCCGCGCGGGTGGCGTTCGGGGGCGGGGCGTCGCTGGCGCAGGCGGAAGCGAAGACGGCGCGGACGAACGAGTTGTGCAAAAAGACGTTTTCGGAGCCGAGAGTGGCGGGAACGAGCCGATCAAGTTCGCGCTTCGACAGGCGCATGTTAAGATACTCGCCGAGCAGCTGCAGGTACTGCGCCTCGCGCATCGGCCCCACCGCCATGCAGAGCGCGTGCTGCACCTCCGCCAGGTTGACACGTGGCAGAGCCTTGGCCATGTCGACAATGATCGAGCGACGCTCGAGCGATGCTTGAGCTGACGCGGCGCTTGCGCGTAGGGTAGAGGCCGCGCGGCACTTAACTCCCGCGCGCTCGCCGAGACGCGCAAGGCAATTACGCTTGCCAAGCTGATCCCCGCCGTTCACCACCAATGCCGACGAGAATCACTCAGCCGTAGCTTGCGGCTTGCGATGCGCCTCAAATGCCAACACGCATCGCCCTGCGATGTTGCGCAATTAAGCGGCAAAACCGACGATGTTCCCGGAGACGGGTACAGTTGACGAACGCGACGAGACGACACCAGGCGCCGCCGCCCTTATCCCCGGCAGATGGTGGAGCGCGGCCACGAGAGTGAAAGTAGAAGCGGCGAAGGGTCGAAGCGGCGAAGCGAGACGTCGAAGATTCTGACGGAAATTCCAAGGCAGAATCAGGAGCCCTCGATGCTGCTGTTGCTGCTGCGTTGCCGCGTGTCACGTCACCGCTTGATTCTCGCTTCCGCAACCACCCCGTTTGTGCCGCGCAATGAGTCCCAGATGTGCGCGTGAACCCTTTCAACCGCGCTTCACTCCTGCGCGGATGATCGCGGTCTGGTCCGTTCTCCCCCGAGACCAGCACATCAGGCCGAAAGCGAGAAGCCGTTTCGGGCAAACGCGGAAGAACCAGTCTGGCAGGCAGGCAGACACGCGCGGATCGTTTCTCGGGAAAGTCGAGAGCGCTTCGAGAGCCGCAATGGTCAGCAAACGGGGACAGGGAAAGGCGAGAGGTAACAACCTAAGAAACGCAAAAACGCGAAATGCAATACAGAGAGAGGCTTGGAGCGAATGGAAGCCGACAGGAGGCGCCTTAGGCGGTTCAGTGATGCCGGTTACTGCGGCGGAAAAGCAGCGGCAGACATGGCGGGAACGATCCGAGCTGCGCAGGCTGCAGCAAACCCTAAGCCGAGTCTCGAGGGCGCAGGGGGAAGGAGAGGGAGGAGGGTGAGGAGGTGAAGAGAGGAGTGCAGACAGGCGAGAACTCAATCTCGTGTAATTTAAAGCTTTCGTATACATTTGCAAGAACTGTTTGGACTTGCACTGTAGCCAGGGAAAAATTCGCCAGAACGAAACAACTGAGCGTGGCGAGAGGTTTGGCGAAAAATTGCAGCTTTGAGGAGTTCCAAACACAGGAAACTCCCCCGTCACCCAACCTTGGAGTCAGATTTCACTAGGAACCATGATATGTGACTAACATACGCTAAGCATAGATAGAGGAACCGGGGCGCGACAAAGAACATGCGGAGCATCGACACCGCTCAGATATTCTCATGTGAGATGAGTTTAGGTAACATTATAGGCTTGTGCGAGTGGAAAAATACATCTAGCTTGCACGCCAGCTCCTTTCCACTGCTGCGCCGTTCAGCGGTAATCGGAGAGGGAAAGGCTCTGCATTCGTCGAGCGCGTCGTGCTGCATTGATGGGCCCCGTCGAAGCCCTGTCAAGGGCGCCTCGACGGGTTGCATCACCACGCTGGGTAGGTGCGATCGAGTAAGCCGATTGAAAATTACGGAGCCGACGGCGGGATCGCATCGTTCCATGCGTTGGCCACGCCGCCACTCTCAACACCCGCTCGGTAGGCATTTCCCGCTTAGCGCCTCACCCACTGCGCGGGTCTCCCGCTTACCGCCTCCAATGCTGGGAGCTCTCCCGCTTAGCGCCTCACCCTCTGCGCGCCATGCCGCTTAGCGTATCACTCGCCGCGCGCCTTTCCCGCTTAGCGCCTGACCCGCTGCGCGCCTCTCCCGCTTAGCTCCGCAACCGCTGCGCGCCTCTCCCGCGCAACGAATCACTCGCTGCGCGCCTCTCTCATTTCGCGCCTCACCCCCTGTGCGCCTTTCCCGCGTGTCGCCTCACCCTCTCCCGCTTAGCGCCGCACCCGCTGCGCGCCTTTCCCGCTTAGCGCCCGCATAGCGCCTCTCCCGCTAAGCGCATCCTCTTCTAATTACCCCCCCTCCCCCCTTCTCCCCCTCACAACCCCCCCTACTCCCTCTCCACTTGCCTCCCTTCTCCCCCTCATTTCCCCCCCTTCTCCCCCTATTTTTCCCCCCTTCTCTCCCTCATTTTCCCCCCTTCTCTCCCTCATTTTCCCCCCTTCTCCCTCTCAGTTCTAACCCTTCTCCCCCTCATTCCCCCCATTCTTCCCCTCATTTCCCAGCCTTCTCCTCCTCATTCCCCCCATTCTTCCCCCTCATTCCCCCAAGGTATGGCAGAGTATGGCAAGGTATGGCAGAATGAGGGACGGGCTTGGCTGGCGTATGGAAGGGTATGGGAGGAGATGGAAGGGTGTGGCGGTGTATGGCAGCGGATGGATGAGTATGGCATGCGATCATCCAAGGGTACGGTAGGGGTTAGAAGCATATGAGAGGGAGAAGGGGGGAAAATGAAAGGAGATGGGGGGAAATGAGCGGGGGGGAAACGAGATGGAGAAGGGGGGGGGAATGAGAAGGAGCACGTGGGGAAAGGAGAGGGAGATGGGGGGAAACGAGAGGGGGAAGGGGGGGGGAATGCGGGGAAATGAGAGGGAGGTTATGTGGCATTTAACTGAGTGGTTAAGGGGGGAATGAGAAGGAGCAGGGGGGAGAATGAGAGGGATAAGGGGGGGAAATGAGAGGAAGAAGGGGGGTACATGAGCGAGAGAAGGGGGGACATAACAGTGAGCAGGGGGGAGGATGAGAGGGAGAAAGGGGGGGAATGAGGGGCTTCATGGGGGGAATGAGAGGGAGTAGGGGGAGATATAAGAGGGGGAAGGGGAAGAAATGAGAGGGAGAATGGGGGGGAATGAGCGGGAGAAGGGGGTGACATGAGAGAGAGAAGGTGGGGACATGACAGGGAGCAGGGGGGGAGATGAGAGGGAGAAAGGGGGGGATGAGGGGCTTCATGGGGGGAATGAGAGGGAGAAGGGGGGAGGAATGAGGGAGAGCATGGGGGGGAAATGAGAGTGAGCAAGGGGGAAAATGAGAGTCTGCAAGGGGGGAAATGAGAGTGCGGCTGCCGCGGCTAGTGCGGAAACGTGGTAGCGAGGCTGTGCGATCGGGCGGCGACTGTGATGTGTGTTCGGCAGTTTGAGAAGGGAGGCGAGAAGGGATAATCGGGAGTGGGAAGGGGAAGCGGGGAGGCGGGAAGGGGAATTGGGGAGGCGGGAAGGGGAAATGGGGAGTGGGAAGGGGTAATGGGGAAGCGGGAAGGGGTCACGGGGAGGAGGGAAGGGGTAATGGGGAGCGGGAAGGGGAATTGGGGAGGCGAGAAGGGGTAATGGGGAGCGGGAAGGGGAATTGGGGAGGCGGGAAGGGGTAATGGGGAGCGGGAAGGGGAATTGGGGAGGCGGGAAAGGGTAATGGGGAGCGGGAAGGGGAAACGAGGAGGCGGGAAGGGATAATGGGGAGCGAGAAGAGGAAATGGGGTGGCGGGAAGGGGAATTGCAGAGGCAGGAAGGGGTAATGGGGAGCGGGAAGGGGAAACGAGGAGGCGCGAAGGGGTAATGGGGAGCGGGAAGAGGAAATGGGGTGTCGGGAAGGGGAATTGGGGAGGCGGGAAGGGGAAACGGGGAGGCGGGAAGAGGTAATGGGGAGCAATCGTTTCTGATTACCCTCGCGACACCTCAATTGCGGCTGCCGCCGCTACTGCGGAAACGTGGTAGCGAGGTCGCGCGATCGGGAAGCGACTGTGATCGTGCGTGTTCGGCAGTTTGAGACGCAGCGTGCGCGTTCATGGTGGCGTGAGGAGGCCGCGTGGTGAGGCAACGCGACGGACGACGAGGCGAGGCTGTGAGAAGGGGTCCGGCGGGCTCGCCGTGTTAGAGGGCGGAACTGACGTTGGCTCGGACGTGTAATTACACTAAACTGCCCCACGCGTCTAAGTTTGTGTCGGAAACGGGAGTGATTTGCGCTGGCTGTTGTCGCGATGTGCTTTGCTACGATTTATGCTGCCTGTTGAGCGTAGTGGCGTAGATCTCACATGGACTGGATTTCGTATACTTTTGTTATTCCAAAAGTTTTGAATCACCAGTGAGCCCTGGGTGACGGGGAGATCACCTCCCTTGTGAAGCGAGTGAAACTAGCTGTTTCTGGGTTACCAATATTTCAAATTTCAAAACTTTTGAACCTCCCTTTTTCAAATGTATACGAAAGCTTTAATGTGATTTTGCTTATAAACGTTATTTGTGTTGTCCAGAAAGTACAACTGAATGGCTACAGAAAATTGAATGGCAACACACAGACGCTCTAGGCTACGAAATGAAACAGATTAAATCAGTTTTATCACACGGAATCTAGAAGGCTAAGGGATTCCATCCCTTCAACTGGTAGATAGGAGACAGGAGGAGCGCCGCCCCTTACACCCTTCGTCACTCCGAAACCGCCCTTTGCACTAGCTCCTCCTCCACTCTCCACAGGCAAAGACGAGGTTCTTGCGATCACTGATGGGTGTATAAGTGCATGTGCATGCGGGTCCATTGGGGTTGGTTGCCACAAATACTGTGACGCACTGGTAACCCCTGAAACTGTTTCGTTGGAGCCTACCCAAACAGGAAGCCCTCTGTTGTTATTAATGTTGTTGAACTTGCTGCTGGTATTGAAAGAAGCTGCTGCTACTGCTGGTGCGGCTGCTGCTGCTGCTGCTGCTGCGGACAATGATGCCGAAACAGAAGGAACGGGCGAGACGGGTGGTGCTGCTACAGGCGACGGCAGCGATGGGCCTTTAGGTGAGTACGGGATTGAAAGAGTCAAGGGCTGGGCCGCAGAGATAGCAGATGGGGCTGCTGCTGATGGCACTTGGCAGGAGAGGGAGGAGGACCAGGAGGACGGAACCGAGGGGATGAACACTGAGGAAGAGGAGGAGGAGAAGGAGGAGAGAGAGGAGAAGGAGGAGAAGGAGGAAGCTGAGGAGAAGGTGGAGGAGGATGAGGATGGGCGTGACGAGGAGGAGGGACGGGAGGACGCTGAGGATGACGGTCGTGAGGATGCCGAGCGGGGCGATGGCAATGCAGAGCTGCTGTTGCTCTGCGCCTTGTGTCTCTCCCCTGTCCTGTCACTTCCCTTGTCACCAGCTCTGTCACCTGTCCTGTCACTTCCCTTGTCACCTGCTCTGTCACCTGTCCTGTCACTTCCCTTGTCACCTGCTCTGTCACCTCTACTGTCACCTCCCCTGTCCCCTCTCCTGTCCCCTGCCCTGTCCCCTGTCCTGTCCCCTGTCCTGTCCCCTGCCCTGTCCCCTGCCCTGTCCCCCGCCCTGGGCCCTGCCCTGTCCCCCGCCCCGTGCCCTGCCCTATCACGTGCTCGGTTGGTGAGTGTCTGCAGCAGGGGTCGCACGCACTTCTCTGTGCGGGGCATGCCACAGCATGCCAGCTGCACCAGCAGAGGAATGAACCGACTGCCCTCAATGCACCTCAACAATGCCACCACTACCTCCTCCCCCTCCTCCCCTTCGTCCCCTTCCTCCCCTTCCTCCCCTTCCCCCTCTTCCTCCTGCCCCTGCCCCACCTCCTGCTCCTGATCCTGCTCCACCTGGTTCCGAAGGGTCTTGTTTCGCTGTTGCCGCTGCGCTCGGTTCTGCTCCCGAGCCTGCTTCTGCTTCTGATACTGCTGCTGCTGCTGCTGCTGCTGCTGCTGCTGATGCCGCTGCTGGGGGCTTGCTTCCGGTGCTCTATGCGGGCTGAGTCACGAGCACAGCAGAGCTCCGAGAGGATGGCAACGGCGTCCTCGCGCGTGCGGGGGCTGCCGCGCTGCACCAGGTGCACGAGAGCAGGCAGGTGGGGTGCCACGGCTGCTGCCACTGCACGCACGCCTACGTCCACCTTCACCAGATTCGCCAGCACTGCCAAGCACTTGCCTGCCATGCCACCACCTGCTTCCTCCTCCCTGCTATCCCCACTCGCACTGCCACTGGCACCACCAGCAGCACAAGCACCAGCAGCAGCACCAGCATCACCAGTGCTATCAGCACCACCGGCACTGCCAAACTTATCAGCGCCACAACTCGCCCCTCCAGCTCCTACCTCGCTCCTGCACGTAGCGGAGTTCTTCGCTCTGCTTCTCGTGCTGCTGCTTGCTTTCTCCTGGGACTGCCCTCTCTGCCCTCCCTGCTGCTGCCTCTGCTGCTGCTGCCGCCCCTGCTGCCCCTGCTGCGGCAGCCGCTCCTGCCCCTGCTGCTGCTGCTCAGGTCTCCCTGGCGAGTGCAGCAGCGACAGCAGCACGTCAACAGCGCCGGCTCGCACCATATCCGCAGCGCATCGGGCGTTGCGCGAGAGGTGGAAGAGAGCGAGTGCAGAGTCCTTGCGCGCGCGCAGGCTGCCACACACCAGCAGCTGCACGAGCAGCGGAATAGCGCCTGCCTCCCGCACCAGCTCCCGGTGCTCCTCCGCTGCTGACAGCACGAAGAGAGCCGCTGCGGTGTTGGCCTTGCTGGTGGCTACTGACTGCTGCGCCTCTGCACTCGCCAGCTGCCTCCCCTCCAGAAGCATTCCCGCTCTCTCGCCTGCACCGTGCGTGCTCCAGTCACCACCGCCACCGCCACTGCTCCAATAAGTCGTGGTGATGTTGGTGGTGCCATTGCTGCACGTGCCGCTGCCACCGCCGCCGCCGCCGCCGCCGCAGCTACCGCAGTCGGCAGGGAGTTGCAGCACGCACGCCAGGATGGAAATCCCTCCAGAGGCGGCAATGACTTGACTGGTGCCAGGCACGAGGGACATGTTGAGCAGTGCCGTCACACAGTGCTCCAATCCGCGCACCAGCAGCAGCAACGCGTCACCATCAGCATCCCCCGCCCGTTCGCCCTGCTCAATTCCCCTTGCTGCCTCCTGCTGCCATCCCATCTTGGTTAGTACCTGCTGCTGCTGCTGCCACTGCGAACCCGGTCGCACCAGGCGTCCCTGCTGCAGCAGCGGAGCATTGAAAGCGCGCAGACCAACGAGCGGGCCAAGCAGCGCGAGCAGCAGGTCTCGGAGCAGAGCCAGCAGCGCGCCCACGCCTCCCGCGGAGATGAACTTGTCCTTGTTGCTGCGGCTGTTGCGCAGGGCCACACGCACCGCCTCTGCTGCACACGCTCTCTCGGCAAGCAGCGCAGGGAGGGTCAGTGCACGCACCAGGGCTGCCATGCTGCCAGGTGCTTCTGCACTGGACGCTGTGGTGGTGGTGGTGGTGATGGTGCTGCTGTTGCTGCTGCAGGCGTTGGTGCTGGGAGCGAGCACAGCAGGGCTCGTGCAGGAGGCGCCGCTGCTGCTGTACGCGTTACTAGCACTAGCACTACCAGTACCACTGCCACTGCCACTACTCACGCCGCCGCCATCAGCAACACTACAAATGCTGGCAGCAGCAGCAGCAGCAGCAGCAGCAGCAGCAGCAGCAGCACCACCAGCGTCATTGCGGCGGGCAATCTTAATCTTGGGCCCGGACGCGTCGTGAGGCTTATCAGAAAGAGCAACCTTGAACCCCGACCACAGCTGGGGGAGCGAAGACCCCCGCACCATCGGCTTAAAGCTCTTCTTCAGACCGCTCCCAAGCCTGCGCAGGCCCTTATTACTGCTGCTGCCGCTGCTGTTGCCGCCGCCGCCGCCGCTGCTGCTGCTGCCATTATTACTGCCACCGTGCACCACAAGATCCAAGCCTCCTGCCCTCTCCTGCTGCTGCGGCCGCTGCTGCAGCTGCCGTTCTTGCTGCTGCTGCTGCTGCTGCTGCTGCTGCCGCAATTGACCCGCTCGTTGTTGCTGTTGGCTCTGCCTCTGCTGCCTCCCCATCATCTGCTTGTATCTTATCACATCCGGTTCCTCCTCCCTGTCCTCCTCTTCTCCTCCCACTCCTCCCACGCCCCCCTCTCCCTCCTCCTCTTCCTCCTCCTCCTCCTCTTCCTCCCCACTCCCCTCCTGCTCCTCCTCCTCCTCTTCGCACCTCCACTCCTCCGCACCGCATTGCACCCCCCTTGTTAGCCCGTCGCACGGCTCTCGAAACCAAAGCCGCTCTCCGCGTGCCCCCGCGCCGTCTCGTCTTCCGCCCATATCTTGCGCAAGCCCTCCGCAAGCGCAATCCGCCTGCCCCGCTCCTCGCACTCCCGCGCCCGGAGTTCCAAACCCACGCTCCGCGCGGCTTACACCCGCGGAGCACCGTCCGCCGTCTCTGCTAAGCCCGACACCTTCCGCTTTGCCGCAGGTTCTGCAGGGCCGGCGAACCGTCTCACCCGCTACGTTGGTGACTCCAACGCCGTCGCTGCTGCTGCAACAGCAGCCGCCTATTCTTTCGTTGCTGCTGCTGCTGCAACCGCCGTTGCTACGACCGCAGCAACGCGCGGCGGTTGCCGTGCCGGGAGCGGCCGGATCCGCGCAAGCCGCCACATCCGCGGACCACGTGTGTCCCCACGGCCGCGACTGCGCGCGGTTGTCAGTAATCCCAGCGCTACCATCACTGCGGCACGCAGCGCTACAAGCAGCGGTACACTCAGCGCAACGTGCAACGCCAGGCGCAACGACATGCGCGGACTCGAGAGGCGGCTGCAGTTGCAGTTGCGGTCGCCTGCCGCTCCCCGCGGATCTGGGTCGGGCTTCCATGGCGCGGCACGCTCTACTCACGCCGCTGCTTCCGCTCGCGCCACTCACGCTACTCACGCTACTCACACTACGCACGCTACTCGCGTTCCACGCGTTACTACACGCGCTACTCGTCTCGTTCGCGTTCCACCCGCTCCTCTCCCTCCACGAGTCGCCCACCGCCGCTGCGCTCCTTTCACCCGCCGCTGCGCCTTTCACAAGAGCATTCCCCATGGGGTCCGCCCACGACACGCTTCGGCGAACGCGACTCGCGTCGATCTGACCTACTACGTGGCTGGTGACCGTTGGATTTAACGGCTGGGTGGACTCTCGTCGGCCGAAGGAAGGGCCCAGTTTGCCGTACGCCATCGTCGCGTTTCGCGGCGACGAGGACGGTATTCGGGTGGATCCCGGTTCGTCGGGTTTCCAGGCGAACTGCCCGCCGCCGCCGCGCTTCGTGCCTACGGTCGCAACGCCCGTCGCTTCTTCAGCTGCGTCGTCGTCGTCGCCTGTCGCATCGTATCCTTCGTCAATGACGTCGTTAATCTCGTCGTCAGTTTCGTCGTCGTCGAGGTATGTCTGGCTGCGCGACTCCGGCTGCAGTAGCGGCATAACAGCCATAGCCGAGGGGCTACAGGATAGTAAGTCCGCGACCGCAGCATAGCTGCTGCTACGCTTTAAGTGCCGCGGCTTGGAGGACGACGATAGCGTGCGGCGCAGGAATGCTGTGGGGAGAAAGGAGCGGAGGGACGGGTCGCCGCCCCGCCTGGCGTCCGCGCCGCCCATTGCGATGGGTTACTACCGAGGAGAAGACAGGAAGAGGAAGAGGAAGAGGAAAAGGAAAAGGACCCACCGCCGAAGTATCCTGAATCCTTCGACCAGCTTAGTATCTGTCTCGGGTACTTCGAGCTTGTCACAAGCTTTGGTCAGAAGATAAGCATTGAACCATTGCTAGCTTGCATTGTCGGTGTACACGCTGACGCACTCTCACGTACATGTTGTGGTTGTGATAGATTCGCTGCCAAGCAGGATGGACGAGAGTGATGAGAGTTGAGGAGGAAACAAGTTGGCGAGGGGGAAGGAAAGGTGGGGTGACCGGACCACTGACCACCATTCAGCAACGCACTCGTGCTTGCTTGGCTCTATCCCAGTTGCCCTTGGCGTTTATACATTTGTTTGGAAACCTTACCCTACCAGTTGTTGCTCTGAACTTTGAGGTTACTGCTTACCTAACTGTCACGCTTTTACGCTGCTTGAAACAGCTCAAGCGTGGCAGGTCCTCGGGCTTGCTTACGGAATGTCATCCGATTCTCACTCAGATCGCCTCCCTTGATGTTTCGTGCTCGGTGACTTCGGACAGAACGAGACAACCCCGCTGTTGTGGAGGACCTATCACTTGATTGAGCAGGGATTATTTCCGCCCGTTATTTGGTACAGCACTACAAAAGTTGTACAAGAAGCTTGTAAAGGAAAGCCCAAGGTATCCTCGTTCCTACACCAACATTCTGGCTTGTGCAGGGTGTTGTCGAGTCGAGGCGCAGGTGCCAGCACGTAAATGAGGTAAATGGATTTGAGAATCGAGGGCGAATATTCTTATATCGAAAATGTGCGATTGCTCTGCACCACAAGCTTGAAGGGCAGCTGCCACAATTCTTGGATTCAATATCTTCTGCCAATTCAGGAACTCAGTCCAACTACAGTACACCAGCAAACCCACACCACCAGAGGCTCCGTTCCACGAAAGCAAGACCTCTCTGACCTCATTCAAAACCATCCTCTGCATGGTTTACGTAAACAAGCAATGACCCTTACTTGTGAAAACGAACAAGCCTGGAACTTTTGGCAGTCTGAAGCAGCCAGTGTCAACTGCTGCTCAACCGTTCAGCCGTTTGCACAGCCGCCTTGGCGCAAGGCGCTGGAAATACAAGCCGTGTTCACGGCTACCGTATTGTACCGACGCACTTTTGTGCTGCTTGCTCCACCCAAGTTTGGTTGTCGGGCGGTAGTCGTGCTTCATGAAGCGAAACACACCAATTTGTGCTGTATAGCGCGTAACCAGTGAACGCCGTAACCCTAATCTTGACCTGTGGCTTATCTGCTCCGAATGACGAAGCTTGCGAATCAGGATACAGTTACAAACGTCTCGTCAACCAATGAACAACAAAGGGTTAGTTACAGGCTGCTGTACGATCATCAGTTTGCCGTGCTTGCACCACCAACCCACCCACCCTAGGGACTATCCCATCTCTCCCTCCGCTCCACTGCCGTACCTCCCTTACCATACCACTGATCTCTTGCCAGCATCAGCAGCAGGGAGGCAGAAGTACAAGCGGATAGTAGTCCTTGAGTGAGAGAGAGTCCGTTGGTTGGGTGGGGAAAAGAGTTGCAGCACCCACTAAGTTCACCCACACAGTTCTTCGGTTGTTAGATACGCTAGCAGGAAGTGTTCTAGGCTTCACCAGTCGTTAGGTTTGTTTTCCGCCGACCGATCTTTTTCAAGTAGCATCGTACGTGCATGAGAGCAGACGATGCGACTGTGCCAAGCGCGCGCAATCTCACTCAAGCTTTGACAATTGGGATGAGAATAAAAGAGCAGCTCGACTTGATCCCTGCCCAGACACCCCTGAGATTCTACGTAGGTTCTAAAGTCACAAACGTTTACTTCGTTTCCCAGCGTTTTTTTTTCTTGTTTCGTTTCGTTCCCAGAAACTTATTTTCCTCTCCCGCTTGCAAGGTTCCTTGTTTCCACTTTCTCCCTCTTCCATAATCGCCGTCGATTACCCCTCTCGTCTATCCCCCCCTCATCCTCACTCGCACTGCACGGTTGTGTAATAACCGTCGTCAAGTCGAGCTGACGTGTTCGTTTCGTTCCCTTAAACGTGTTCCGTAGCCTCGCGCAACGCCCATTACCGTTTCCTCCAGCACCTCCTGCTTCCACGCTCCTTGTCATCTTAATTTCCCTTTAGGTTTAAAGAATACTTCTAGCTCGACTGAGAGATAGGTCCTTAATGTCCACCGTCAGTGAACCCGATTATGTTCTCTCCGCTTGTTTCAGCCACATTGACCTCTTTTTTTCTTGCATTGCTCCCCATTACAATACATCGCGAGTCATGCACTGCGATTTTTATTTTCTAGTTTGACCGCTTTGTTTGCTGCGCTCTTACTTCCCTTGAACCCTCGTTTTCTTGCCCTCCTGCCCTCACGACCCGCTCCAACCCCCTCCTCACCCTTCACTTAATCCCCTCAGTTTTCTAGCCAAATGCGCGCGTTCCGCCGGTAACCTGCGCGCAAAGGTGCGCGTTCCGCCGACCGCCCGCGCATCCTGCCTGTCACGCGCAGCAGCCCCGCGAGGCCGACCGGCGAGCGCGGAGAGTGTATGAATGGACGGGAGCGGGCGCGGGGATCGCAACGACGATGACGACGAGTGGGACGAGACGAATAACAACGGGCTCCCGCCAGACCCGGCGGAGCTCCGTAACAGGAAGCCCGGGGATGACAGTAACGGGTACGAGGATGAATATGACGAGTATGGGGAGGAGGGGGAGGAGGGGGAGTATGTCGAGGGAGGGGAACGGAGAGGGGGCGCGCGGTATGGTGAAGAGGGGGAGTATGGAGAAGAGGGAGAATACGGGGAGGAAGGCGAAGGGTATGAGGATTACGACCCAGATGACCCCAATTCCCAGCAGCAGCAGCAGCAACAACAACAACAGGGGTTGAGAGCTGCTCCCCCTCCTAAGGGGCCTGGGCCTGGGACAGGAGAGGGTCCGCCTGACGGCCCGCAGGAGGAAAACGAGTATGATTATGACGAGTATGGTGAGGAGGGAGAGTATGCGGGGGAGGGTGAGGAGGGAGAGTATGGGGGAGTGGGTGAGGAGGGAGAGTATGGGGGAGTGGGTGAGGAGGGAGAGTATGCGGGGGAGGGTGAAGAGGGAGAACATGCCGGGGAGGGTGAAGAGGGAGATTATGGGGGGGAGGGAGATTATGGGGGCGAGGGTGAAGAGGGAGAATATGCGGGGGGAGGTGAGGAGGGAGAGTATGGGGGAGTGGGTGAGGAGGGAGAGTATGGGGGAGTGGGTGAGGAGGGAGAGGGGCAATATAACGAGGGGGAATATGTTGAAGGAGAGTACGATGAAGGCGAATACGTTGAAGGGGAATATGCTGAAGAAGAGTACGTTGGGGAGGAAGGAGAGCATGGAGAGGAAGAAGCTTATAACGAGGACGGGGAGTATGTTGAAGAGGGGGAGGGGGGTGGTGGCGAGGGGGGAAACGAACAAGCAGCGGAAGGTGGCGAAGGTGATTATGAGGAGGGGGATTACGAGGGTGAGGGGGAGTATGGGGGGGAGCATGAGGGGGAGTATGGGGAAGAGCATGAGGGGGAGTATGGGGAAGAGTATGGAGAAGAGCATAAAGGGGAGCATGAAGGAGAGCATGGGGAAGAGCATGAGGGGGAGTATGGGGAAGAGCATGAGGGGGAGTATGGGGAAGAGCATGAGGGGGAGTATGGGGAAGAGTATGAGGGAGAGCATGAGGGGGAGCATGAGGGAGAGCAAGGGGGGAAGCTTGGGGGACAAAGAGATGACTATGACGACGAGGATGGTCATTACAAGGGGGACGGAGCAGGGCATGTTGAAGAAGGGGATGAGTATGCTGAAGGGCAGGAGTACGGCGAGGAAGGGGAGGAGTATGTTGAAGGGGAGGAGGGTTATAGAGAGGGTCCTGAGGGTGGTTATATCGAAGGGGGTGAGGATGCAGGGGAGGAAGGGGTGCAAGAAAATCGAGAGGGTAAGGACGATGGTGGTGGGGGTTACAGTGGGGATGAGTACGGGGCTGATGATAACGGGGATGAAAATGAGTACGAGGGAGGAGAAAGGGGCGATGGGGAAGGGCGGGAGGAAGGGCGGGAGGGGGAGGAGCGAGAGGAAGGGCGTGAGGGGGAAGGGGATGGGTCGGAGGAAGGAGATATGTACAGTGAGCGAGAGAGATACAGAGGGGAGGAGGGGGAGGAGGGGGAGGAGTATGAGGAGGAGAGGGTAAGAGAAGGTGAATACAGCGATGAGGGTGATATGTATGGTGATGGTGGTGATGGTGATGATGATGGCAGAGGGGAGGAGCATGAGTTGGGGGGAAGTAGAGACGACAGGTTTGAGGATGAGGGAGAAGGTGACTATAACGAAGAGAGAGAGTATGGTGATGATGGGTTTAGTGATGGCGGTAATGATAGAGTTAGTGACACGGGGTCGCGGAGAGAGGGGGTGGAAGCAGGGGAGCATGGAGGGGAAGTGGAGAGTGGGGATGCAAAGTATCAGGGGGGAGTTGAGGGAGTGGGCGAAGGAGAGGGAGAGGGGGAGGGAGGGGGAGAGGGGGAGGGAGGAAGGGAGGGGGAGGGAGATTGGGAGGGAGAGGATAACGGAGAGGGAGAAGGAGAGGGAGGAGAGGAAGAAGGAGAAGGAGAAGGAGAAGGAGAAGGAGAAGGAGAAGGAGAAGGAGAAGGAGAAGGGGAGGATGGTGGGGAAGGCGAGGAGCGAGAGGGAGGGCTGTTGCATGCAGGCATGGAGAGGGGGGAGAGTGAGTATAGCGAGGGAGACGAGGGGGAGTACAGTGAAGGGGAGCGTGACGTGGGGAGAGGTGGCTTAAGAGACGAGCAGGAGGGAGAGGGTGATGATTATGATGATGGAGGGAGGTATGGGGGGGACGAGGAGGATGGGAGTGAAGGAGAAAGAGAGTGGGGTGAGAGGGGGGAGGAAGGTGAGGAGAGAGATAGGGAGAATAGAGAGGAGGAAGAGGAGGTGGAGGAGGAAGAGGGAGCAGAGGGGGAGTTGCGAGGGAGAGGACGAGGGGGGGAAGATGGTACGGAGGAGGGAGGAGATGATTTGTATGGTGGGTCGGAGGTTTCTGAAGCAGAGGAATGGAGGGAGCAGCAGGCACGACAGGAGCAGCACCCGGAAGGACAGGATGAGGATGATTATGGTTATGATGATGGTGATGCTGCTGCTGCTGAGGATGAGGACGAGGAATGGCGGCAGCAGCAGCTGCAGGAAGGGGAGGAGCAGCAGGGCGAGGAGGAAGGGCAGAGGGATGGTGATGAGGAGAACGCGGAATTTAGGAGGGATGGGGGGGAGGAGGAGGGGATGGAGATGGAGGGGGAAGAGATGGGCGAGGAGAGAGATTTGTTCTCGGATGGAGATGGAGACGCAGATAGAGAGGAAGATAGAGATGCAGTTAGAGATGACGATGGAGAGGACAGAGGTTATCACGGAGATGGAGGGGAAGAGAGAGGGGAGGATATAAGAGAAGGTAGAGGAGAAGATGGTGATTATGGTGAGGGCGAAGGGGAGTTTGATGGTGGGGGGGAAGGAGGAGGGGATCGCAGTGCTGCTGGGTCTGCTGCTGCGCGCAGCACTGGTGGGAGTGAGTATGATGATGATGGGGGGAGCGCCCGTGGGAGTGAGTATGGCGAGGGGGGTGATCTGTATGATGGCGATGGTGCTAGTGGTGATGGCAGAGGGGAGGACGACGCTGCAGCAGCTGCTACTGCTGGTGTGGATAATGATGTGGATGGTGATGTGGATGGTGGTGGGGGTGATGGCGGGGACGATGATGGATATGGGCAGTATGAAGAAGGGTATGAGGACGAGGAGGACGCGGAAGCGAGGGGAGTGGAGGATGAAGGGGAGAGATGGCAGCAGCCGGAGGAAGGAGAGGGTGAAGAGGAGGGTTATGAGGATGAGGAAGGGGAGAGAGGAGGTGGCGGGGAGCGGGAGGGAGAGGATGAGGGGGAGGAGCTGTATGGGGAGGAGTATGATGAGTATGGGGAAGAGCTGTATGGAGAGGAGGGAGAGGAGGGAGAGGAGGGAGAGGAGGGAGAGGAGGGTGCTGAGGGGCGCGAAGTTGGGAGAAGAGTGGTGCGTGGAGGGGTGGGGGAGGTGGAGGAGGGGGATGGGGAGGAGGGGGATGGGGAGGAGGGGCGGGAAGGGGAGGAGGGGGAGGATGGGGGGGAAAGGGAGGATGGGGAGGAGAAAAGAGAGCATGAGGAGGAGGAGGATATGTATGGTGAAGAGGATAAAGATGAGTATGACGAGGATGGATATGGTGATGGGCATGAGCGAGACATGTATGGAGATGAAGAGGAGGAGGATGGTTATGGGGGAGGTGATGGGTATAGGAAGCAGGAGCATGAGTATGGGGAGGATGGGGAGGGGGTTGTGGATGTTGATGGGGATGCGGATGGTGATATTGGAGAGGAGGAGCTTGGGCGTTCCCTGGATGGAGAACAAGAGGAGGGGTTGGAGGGGGAAGGGGGTGAGGAGGAGGGAGAGAGAAAGGAAGAGGAAGGTTTGGGAGACGAGGGGAGAGCGGAGGAAGAGTATGAGAGAAGCGATGATGGTAGAGGAGGTGGGGGTTCGGATAAGGAGGAGGATGGCTGGAGGGACGATGGGAGTGAGAAGCAGCACGCAGGGGAAGGGCGTTTGGATGGTGAAGGAGAGGAGGTGTGGGATGGGGAGGAGAGGGAGGTGTGGAGTGACGAGGAGGGGGAGAAGTGGAATGGGAGGAGAGGGGATGGAGACGAGGGGAGCGATCGTGACAGGTTCGAGAGGGAGGAAGGGAAGGGATGGAGTGATGAGGAGAGGGAGAGGTGGCGAGAAGAGGGAGAGGGGGAGGGGGAAGGGGAGGGAGAGGGTGAAGGGAGAGGAAGACACGCAGAGAGCGAAGACGGGGAGGAGAGGTGGAGTGAGGGAGAAAGGTCAGATGATGGACGGGAGGAGGATTATGAGGGGGCGGAGCGAGGTGGGAAAGAAGGGTTTGATGCAGGGGCGAGAGGGAAGAGCGGGCAAGGCATGGTCAAGAAAGTCAACGGAGAAATTTCGCCTAGAAGCGGGGGTATGAACGGGCGGGGAGGGCCGGAGGATTATTCAGACGAGGAAGAGGAAGAGAGGGATGGGGAGGTGGAGGAGGAGGGAGAGGGGGAAGTGGGTGGGTTGGCAGGGGATGGAGATGAGGGTGCTGTGCGGGTGTATGAGGTGGGGGCTGGGTGGGAAGAAGAGGGTAGTGAGGATGGGGGGTTGGACTCTGGTGGGGGAGGGAGTGTGGTGGAAGGAGGGAACGGCAGGGAGAGTGACGAGGAGGTAGAGGCGAGAGAGGAGAGAGGGGAGGGAGAGGAGGTAGAGGAGGGAGTGGAGGGGGAATCTGTGGTGGATGGGGAGGAAGAAAGGGAGTATGGTGAGGGAGAGAGTGACGGGGAGGAGAGAGACGGGAGCAGCAGGGCAGCGAGGTTTGCAGTGGGGGAAGAAAAACCGGAGGCAGAGGCGGAGGAGGAGCATGCAGGAGGGGAGGTGGTGGAGGAGGAAGAATATGAGGAGCGGGGTTATGGGGAGGAAGGTGCGGGGAGAGAGAGGAGGACAAGGAGGGGTTCGGGGAGTCTCAGTGGCAGTGGGAGCTGGGACGAGCGGGGAGGCGAAGAGAGAGAGAGAGAGCAGGACATGTATGGGTCAGGATCGGAGGACTTGGAGTATGAGAGGGATGGGCGGTACGAGAGAGAGGGGCGGTTTGGGAGAGAGAATGAGTACGAGTATGGAGACGAGGAGGAGGAGGAGGAGGAGGGGGGTGAGTATGAGGGAGGTGGTAATGGGTTTAGGGGTCATGGAGAGCGGCGCAGCAGGAGGAGAGGCTCGTTTGGGGATGAGGATGAGGATGAGGGTGGTGATGGTGGTGGTGATGGTGGTGGTGATGGTAATGGTGTGCTTGTGGGAGGGCGGGCCAGCAGTGGTGAAGCATCGCCTGTGTCACAGGGACGAGAGGAAGGAGAGGGAGGAGAGGGAGGGGAAGATGAGGGCGGAAGGGACGGGTTTGCACTGTTCAACCTTCCAGCAGGGTTGCAGCTAGGTATGCCGCAGGGCTTGCCCGAAGGCCAGCCTGTTGACTACTCGGTTGGGGACCTGGAGAAGGCGTTTCGTGCCATGCAATCTGGTGCTGCTGCTGCTGCTGATTCGGGATCGAAACCAGGTGTTGCACCGGGTGCTAAAGCAGCAGCAGCAGCAACAGCAGCAGGTGCTGGAGCAGGAGTAGCTGCAGCATCGGGAGCAGTGGTTGAAGCGTCTGTTGCCGCAAATGCTGGTGGGAAGGGTGGAGCAGGAATGGGAAAGGCGAGGGAGGGAGCGACAGGGGCAGTGGAAGGGGGTGGAGAGGGAGGAGAGGGGGAGAAGGAGGGGCGAGCGGGGTTTGCGCTATTTGATCTGCCTGCTGACATGGCGAATATCCCCCTGGGCCAACACGTGGACGAATCAGTGGGCGACCTGTGGAAAGCATTTCAATCCATGCAAGGGAAGGGCGGAATGGCTGCTGTGGGTGGTGGTGGGGGGATAGGAGAGTTAGGTGCTCTTTCTGCTGCTGCTGCTGCTGCTGGTGCTGCTGGTGATGCTCGTGGCGGCCTAAAGATTCATGAAGAGGATGAGGAGGGGGAAAGTGGAGACGAAGGGAGTGGAGACGAGGGTTCCGGTGGGCAGAAGAGGGGAAAGCAGCAAAGGGAGGTGGTGGATAGCGAGCAGTTAGAGAAGGAGGAGGAAGAGGAGGAGGAAGAGCAGTATGAGGTGGGTTTGTCATTCCTGGATAAACTAAATCAGCTGCAGCAGCTGCAGGAGCATGGGAACGGGTTGGGCGTGCCTGGAACGGGTATGGGAAGCTTGCTGCAAGAAGGCATGGGCATGGGGCTGGGAGCAGGCATGGGCATGGGCGTGGGCATGGGCATGGGCATGGGTATGGGTGTGGGCATGTTGGGTAGCCCTCTTAATAGCCCGTTATCCGCAATGGGAAGCCCTTTCGGCATGTCCGATCCGTCCTTTCCGTCCCCAGCCTCGCACTCCCCCAACACACTCCCCTCGTCCCCGGGGGGTGGGAGGGCGGGCGGAGCGGGGGAGGCAGCAGTGGGAGGGGGAGAGGATGTGGGCGTGGAAAATCGGAAGCTGCCGGAGAACGTGCTGCAGCTGATGCGGGAGAAGAAGCCGGTTGTACCTGGCAAGGCGGAGTGCGATGATGAGGATGAGGATGATGATGATGATAGTCTCATGGGGGGAGAGGTGCGCACAAGGGACGAAGAGGAAGAGGAGGAGGAGGATGGGGGGGGAGCGGGAGGAGGGTTTGGGCTGCTGGATCAGCTGTTGAACTTCCAAGGCGCAGGGCCTCCTGGGGGCATAGGCATGGGCATGGGCATGGGCATGGGCATGGGCATGGGGGGGGATGGAGGCGTGCCGCTCTCGGAGAACGCTCCTGCTGGCTTGGCTGGTGGGTTTGGCGAGCTGCTAGCCGCCAGTGCTGCCCTCCTCGGCCCAAACAGCAGTGCTCTGCCAAAGCCTCCCCAAGACGCCCCCGATTCTCCCGACAGTGGTCCTTTAGCCGGGCTTCTGAGCATGCAGAATGACATGGGAGGGAAGGGCGGTGGGGGCCTGGCAGGGGGGTTTGCGATGGGTGGGGGGCTGGCAGGGGCGTTTGCGCGGCTGCAGGAGGAGGAGAAGAAGGGGGAAAGGGGGACGGAGGGGAAGGCGGTAGGGGGCACACCGCGTGTGACTCGGGTGAGGTTTGTTGAAGAGCCGGAGGAGTGGGGGGCCGGAGATGTGCAGGAGGAGGAGGATGAGGAGGAGGAAGTGGATGAGGAGGAGAGAGGGCAGGATGAGAGGGAGGAGGGCGAAGACCGTGAGGGGATGGTGGAGGAGGATGAGGTGAGGGAATATGGGGAGGAGGAGGAAGACGAGACTGGGAGAAGGAGTGGTGATCAAAGGGGTGAAGGCGAAGGGGAAGGGGAGGAGGAAGAAGAGGAGGGGTACTACGAGGGAGGGGGGGACAGGGATGGGGAGCAGGGCGAGGAGGAGTATGGGAGGGAGGACGATATGTATGAAGAGGGGGATCGATACCCGAGGGGTGAGTATGAAGGAGAGGAGGGGGAGGAGTTTGGAGATGAAAGAGAGGGATTTGAGGGGGAGGAAGGGCGGATGGGTGGAGGAGAGGCGTATGAGGACGAAGAGGGTGCGTTTGATGAGGATGGGTATGGAGAGAGGGAGTACGGGGAGGAAGGGGAGCTGGCAGGGAGACAGGGGTATGAGGACGAGGAGGAGGGCGTTGGAGAGGGAGGGGAGATGAGGGAAGGGAGTGTGGGAGGGAGTGATGATATGTATGGGCAGGAGGGGCAGGAGGGGCATGAGGGAGAGATGGGGCAGGGGAACGGGGAGATGTATGGAGAGGGGGAAGATGGGGAGATGTATGAGGGAGGGGAAGGGGGCGAGATGATTGAAGGGGATGGTGTGGGGGCGGGTTATGGAGAGGAGGGGTATGATGAGGGTGAGTATGGGCAAATTGAAGGGGCAGAGCACGGGGAGTATCAGGAGCAGGAGGGGTATGATGAGGACCAGGCACGGTTCGAAGAGCAGGGGGAGGGCTTTGGTGAAGAGGAGGGGATGTATGGAGAGGGAGGGGAATACGAGGAGGAGCAAGGGAGGGTGCATGGGCAAGGGTATGAAGGAGAGGAAGGAGAGGAAGGGGAGGAAGGGGAGGAAGGGGAGTATGGGGAAGGTGGTGAGGGATACGGAGAAGAAGAACAGTATCCTCCTGGGGAGGGACAGTACCCGGCAGAAGAGCAATACTTGCCAGATGACGAGGGGTATGAGCAGGGGCAATACCCTCCTGATGAGCAGTATCCGCCCGACGAGCAGCAAAGAGGAGGGTATGGAGGAGAGACAGAGGAGGGGTATGGCGGCGATGGGAATGAGGATGAGCAGTTTGAGGAGGGAGGCGGCATGCAAGGAGAGGGGTATGGGGAGGATGAGTATGGGGGGGCTGGTGGGCAGGAGGAGGGGTACGGGCAAGAGGGGGAGTATGGGCAGGAGGGGGAGTATCACGGAGGAGAGATGTTGCAGGAAGAGGAAGAGTATCAGGAGGGGGAACAGTATCAGGAGGGTGAACAGTATCAGGAGGGGGAACAGTATCAGGAGGGTGAACAGTATCAGGAGGGGGAACAGTATCAGGAGGGTGAACAGTACCAGGAGGGTGAACAGTACCAGGGGGGTGAACAGTACCAGGAGGGTGAACAGTACCAGGAGGGTGAACAGTACCAGGATGGTGAACAGTACCAGGAGGGGGGACAGTACCAGGAGGGTGAACAGTACCAGGAGGGTGAACAGTACCAGGAGGGTGAACAGTACCAGGAGGGTGAACAGTACCCGGAAGGTGAACAGTACCAGGAGGGTGAACAGTACCCGGAGGGTGAACAGTACCAGGAGGGTGAACAGTACCAGGATGGTGAACAGTACCAGGAGGGGGGACAGTACCAGGAGGGTGAACAGTACCAGGAGGGTGAACAGTACCAGGAGGGTGAACAGTACCAGGAGGGTGAACAGTACCAGGGGGGTGAACAGTACCAGGAGGGTGAACAGTACCAGGAGGGTGAACAGTACCAGGATGGTGAACAGTACCAGGAGGGGGGACAGTACCAGGAGGGTGAACAGTACCAGGAGGGTGAACAGTACCAGGAGGGTGAACAGTACCAGGAGGGTGAACAGTACCCGGAAGGTGAACAGTACCAGGAGGGTGAACAGTACCCGGAGGGTGAACAGTACCATGAGGGTGAACAGTACCCGGAGGGTGAACAGTATGATGAAGCAGAGGAGGGGTATAACGAGGGGGAGGGGTACGGGAAGGGGCAGTATGGAGGGGATGGGGGTGAAGGTGGGGCGGGCATGGGGTTTCCCGGGGAGGAGGGGCATGATGCCATGGGATATGCAGAGGAGGAGCAGTATGCAGAGGGAGGAGGGGACGGTGGTGGCGCAGGGGATGGTTATGATGGTGGGGAGGTGTATGAGGAAGGAGGGGGGTATGTGGAGGGAGAGGGGTATGTGGAGGGAGAGGGGTATGTGGAGGGAGAGGGGTATGTGGAGGGAGAGGGATATGGAGAGGGCATGGGGCCGCATGGGGAGGAGGGGCAGGGGTATGGGGAGGAAGAGGCGGAGTATCATAATCAGGAGCAGCAATATGAGGGAGAGGGGGGATACGAGGGTGAGGGGGGTTATGCGGGGGATGGAGGTGGTGATGGTGGTGGCGTTGGGATGGGTTTAGGCAGCCCTATAGCACACATGGGTGCGAACTCGGGTATGGGGCCAGGAGGGGAGTTTGGTGGGGGCATGGCGGGTGATGGGTATGGGGAGATGGAGGGGCAACAGGGGTATGGGCCGGAGGATGAGCAGTATATGGGGCAGGAAGGTGAGCAGTATGATGGGGAGGGGCAGTATAACGAAGGTGAGCATTATAATGAAGGGGAATATACCGAAGGGGAGCAGTATACCGAAGGGGAGCAGTATAACGAAGGGGAGCAGCAGTACCAAGAAATCGGCGAGGGAACCGAGCAATACGAGGGGCAGTATGGAGCACCCGAGGGGCCTGGGCCTGGGGAATTCCCAGAGGGGGAATACCATGAGGGTTACCAAGGGGAATACCCAGAGGGGGGATACCAAGATGGGGAAGATGGGGAGTATCATGGGGGGGAAGAGGGGTACCATGAAGGGGGAGAGTATCCCGAAGGGGAATACCATGATGACCAGGCCGGGTACTATGATGGGGAAGGAGGAGATGGTGCGGGTGGTGCTGCTGCTGCTGCTGCTGGTGGTGCTGATGCTGGTGGGCAGTATATGGGGGGTGGTGATGGTGCATACGGTATGCTGCAGGGGCAGCAGGAGGAGGAGGAGGATGGGTACATGGGGGAACGCGACCAGGCAGGCTTGCAGGGAGCGTATGGGGGAGGAGGTGGGGTGGGAGAAGGGGAGGGGGGGGGATACTCTCCTGATGGGCGTTACTACGAGGAGCATGTGCGGCTGAACGGGACAGGAGACGGAGGGGGAGATGGGGGAGGAGGAGGAGTAGGAGGAGGAGGAGGAGGAGGAGGAGGAGGAGGAGGGTACTATGGCAGGGCGCCTGGAAGCCCGTATCCCATGAACGTTCCCGGGAGTCCCTACCCTGACGAGCGGCCCATGAGCCCGTATGCAGACGGGCAGGGGTATGATGCTGGGGAGCAGTATGGGGAGGGGCAGGGGTATGATGACGGGCAGGGGTATGGGGATGGGCAAGGGTATGTGGATGGGCAGGGGTATGCAGAAGGACAGGGGTATGTGGATGGGCAAGGGTATGCGGAGGGTCAAGGGTACGAGGAAGGGCAGATGAGTCCATATCCCGATGGGAATCCCATGAGCCCTCTTCCAGAGGAGCACTACCCTGATAGCCCCTACCCTGGCGCTCCTTACCTGGACCAGCAGCAGCAGCAGCAGCAGCAGCAGGGGGGGAACGGGGAGGAGCAGCAGGAGTATGGGGAGGGCGCGGGCATGACCCTGTATCCCGAGGATGGCGGCATGATGAGTCCGTTTGGGGATGGCGGCGGCGGCGGCGGTGGTGGTGGTGGGCAGTACGGGGAAGGGCAGTATGAGGAAGGGCAGCTGAGCCCCTACCCACAACATGGGTACCCTGACGGCGGCGGCGGCGGGCATGGGTATGAAGGCGAGCAGGCATATGGTGGCGAGCCGGTATACGGCGACGGGGAGATGAGTCCGTATACACCCCAGGCACCCCTCAGCCCCTTCCCCGACCAGCAGCAGCAGCAGCAGCAGCAGAGGCCGATGAGTCCGCTTCAAGGGGACAGGCCTGGTAGTCCGTACGGCGCCATGCAGGCCCCGGGGAGTCCGTACCACCACGAGCAAGCCCCGGGGAGCCCTTATCACCACGAGCAGGCACCTGGGAGTCCGTACCATCTCGAGCAAGCCCCTGGCAGCCCGTACCACCACGAGCAGCCCCCTGGCAGCCCGTACCATGAGGAAGGGGGCACGGGAGGCGGCAGTGGCAGTGGTGGTGGCGGTGCGTACTATGGAGAGCGGCTGGGAAGCCCGTATCACCACCAGCAGCAGCAGCAGCAGCAGCAGCAGCAGCAGAACGGGATGGGGGGGTTGCACGGGGCTAGGAACGCCCCTGGGAGCCCGTACCACGAGGAGAGGCTTGGGAGTCCTTACCACGAGGAACGGCTTGGGAGTCCCTACCACCAGCAGCCGCACCAGCAGCAGCAGCAGCAGCAGCACGGGCATGAGTATGAGCAGCGGGTGGGAAGCCCGTTCCATATGGAACCGCCAGGCAGCCCTTATCACGAAGAGGGGGTGGGAGGGGGATATGGAGAAGAGGGTGTGGAGGGGGGGTTTGATGAGCAGCAGGGGATGGCAGGGGGAGAGGGCGGGCAGTGGGAGGGGCAGTATGGGGAGGAGATGAATGGTGGTGGGTATGGGTATCAGGAGCCTTTGACGCCTGCTAGTCCGCATGAGTATGCCATGGCGTTGCACCGAGAGCAGCAGCAGCAGCTGCAGGAGCTGCAGCAGCACCAGCAGCAACAGCAGCAGCAGCAGCAGCAGCAGCAGCAGCAGCAACAGCAGCAGCAGTTGGGGCAGGGACTTAGGATTGCCCGCCCGGATTCGTCTCGCTCCTCCGACCGCCCCCCTAGCCGAGTCTCGTACCAGGATGATACAGACAGCCGGCCGCCCAGTAGGGTATCTTACGCTGAGTCAGATAGCCGCCCATCCAGCCGCATGTCTCGAAGAGGGGCGGCAGGGCCGGCAGGAGCAGGAGGGGGGGGACCAGGGGCGGCAGTAGCAGGAGCGGGGAGAGCATTGGAAGTGGGGGAGGAAGGGTATGCAGCGTTTGGGTTCTACGGGCAGCCGTCTCCGCGGTATGGAGGGGTGGGGAGGGATATGGAGCGGCCAACAAGCCGGCAGATGAGCCGGGGCGTGTCAGGTGCTTCCCAAGGAGGGTCGGATCTAGAGCGGCCTATCAGCCGGCATGGGGCGGCAGAATATGACGAGTTTGGCCGCCCGCTCAGCCCGCTCACCCCACGCAGCCCACTCAGCGGGGAGGGGGTGGATAGGCCGCTGAGTAGACACGGGCAGAGAGGAATCATGGGGGTAGAGTATGTGGAAGGCGCAGGGGGGATGGGGGGCATGGGGAGTGGGGGCGACGGGGGATATGGTGGTATGGATGGGGGGATGGGGGGTGGGTGGACGGATGGGGGATTGGGATCACCCATGGGAGGAATGGGGGGGGGGTATGGGGGAGACGGGGCGTTGGGTTCCCCTGTGGGGTTTGGAGGTGGTGGGTTAGGATCGCCGATTAGCATGGGGGTGATGCCAGGAGGGGAAGGAGGAGGAGGGGGAGGGATGGGGAGCCCCCTGGGGTCTCCTATTGGCGGAGGCCCCTTGGGATCTCCGATATCACTGGGTGGCGGTCTGGGCGGCGGGATGGGCGGCGGGTTGGAGGATGATTCTTATGCGGAGAGTGCTTATATTGAGCATAAGATGCCGACTCTACGTGCGGAGGGGCTGCCTATGGCTCCTCCAGACGACCCTAATGACATGCCAGCGATTTCCTTCGATAGAGTCACATCCATTCGGGGACCTGCAGGCGGCATGGGAGGAGGAAGAGCAGGAGGAGGGTTTGTGTTTCCTTCTGCGGGTCACGGGGAGGAGTATGGGGAGGACGAGGAGGAGGAGTACGGGCATGGGGGCGGGTATGGCATGATGGGGGGGTATGATGATGTGGGTTTCACGAGCATTGGCGTGGGGGCAGAGCTGGGGCCTGTTCCTGAAGTGGATGAAGATGCTCTATTAGAAGAGGAGGATGATGATCAAACCCCAGGGTTATTCTCTGCCGGGGAGTTTGACGGGCGGCAGGTGGAGGACGGCGAGGTGGAGGGAGAAGGGGAGGAGGAGGAAGGCGAGGAGGGCGAGGAGGGCGAGGAGGGCGAGGAGGAGGCGGGCGAGGAGGGAGGGTATGGGGATGGGGGGTACGAGGAGGGAGGGTACGGTGAGGGAGGGGATGGAGGGAACGGGGTCGCTGGAGGGGATTTCGAGGAGGGCGAGGAGGGGTATTATGGAGAAGAAGGGATGGGGGGTGAGGGTGGCATGGGGATGGATGGAGGGGAAGGTTATGGGGGGGAAGAAGGGGGGTATGGGCAGGAAGGGCAAGAGGGGCAAGAGGGAGGGGGGTATGGAACGGGAGGGTCTGGTTTCGACAACCAGTGGGTGTCTCCTCGGCCCATGCCGACTGGTGCTGCTGGTGTTGCTGCTGGTGCTGGTTCTGTGGGGCATTCTTTGCCTAACGCTGCATGGCAACAGCAGCAGCAAGGGCAGGGACAGCAAGGGCAAGGGCAGCAGGGGCAGCAGCAGGGAATGCTTTTGAAGCCATCTCCTCCACCCACTCAGCAGCAGCAACAGCCGGCCCGAAGGAAGACCCCTCCCAAACGACAACAGCAGCAACAGAAACAGCTGCAGCAGGCACAGCAGCAGCAGCAGCAGCTCCAGCAGCAGCAAGAGCAGGATCAGCAGCAACAACTGCAGCAGCAGCAGGTGCAGGCAAGCAAGAAGCAAGGAGTACAGCCCAAGAAGCCTTCAGCCAAACAGCCAGGTGCAAAGAAGGCGGCAGCTGCTGCTGCTGCTGCTGCTGCTGCTGCTGCTGCTGCTGCTGCTGCTGCTGCTCCGACTGGCTCTGCTGCTGATAAGGGTGACGCAGGGAAGACAGGGGTGCAGGGAAAGAAGGCAGGCAAGGTGGGGACGAAAAAACAGAAGGGCAAGGCTGCTGGGGCAGTATCAGGAGCAGTATCAGGAGCAGTATCAGGAGCAGCCGCAGGGGCAGCAGCAGGGGCAGGAAGTGGAGGAGCAGGAGGCGTGGGCATGCAGGCTCAGGGAGGGAATGAGCCTGGGAATGACTCGGACTACTACTCCCAGTTGATGCCTGCTGACGGTGCGTCAACCCCGCGCCTGAGCCCGTACAACCCGTGGGAAGAGGAGGAGACGCTGCTGCTGGAGGGGGCTGTTGCGCAGCACAAGCCTAAGCCGCAGAAACAGCAACAGAAGCAGCAGCTGCAGCAGCAGCAGCAGCAGCAGCAGCAGCAGCAGGAGCAGGAGCAGGAGAGAGGGGCAGGGAAGAAGAGTGTTGGTGGGCAGGAGGGGAAGGGCAAGGCTGGAGGGAAGGTGGCCTCTCCTGAGAGGGCTGTGGCAAAGAAGGCAGCAGCTGCTGCTGCAGCAGGTGCTGGTGGTGCTGCTGCAAAGGGCAAAGTGGGGAAAAAGGCATTGTCGGGTACAAAGAAAGTGTCTTCTAAGGTGAAAGATGCGGCTGTAGGGAACGGCCTGCCTGCCCCAGCTGCTGCTGCTTCTGCTGCATCTACTTCTGCTGCTGCGACTACCACTCTGCAAAAGAAGACAAAGAAACCCGCACAGAAAGCAGCAGGAGGGAAGGGTACCAGGAAAAAAGCAGCGGCAGCAGCAGGAAGCACAGGACAAGGGGGTGGAGAAGGAGGAGAAGAGCAGTCAAGAGGCATGGAGGAGGAGGAGGAGGGTATGGCATCGGACTTCGCCGCGATGGTCACTGCTGCTGCTACAGCCGCCGCTGTTGCCGCCACCATGCCTCTCAGTGACGGCTCCGCTGCCTCTGCCGCTGCCGCTCAGTCAGCTGCTGCGGCCGCGGCCGCTGCCGCCACCAGCAGTGCAGCAGCAGCGGGCGGGCCCAATTCGTTGCTCAGCCCGAGCCGATCCGCCTCTGCTGCTGCCTCTCCTTATTCTGCTGCTGCTGCTGCTGCGGGTGCTGCTCACCGCAGTGACAGTGACGGGGTAGTGCATAGTGCTATAGACTCGCTCTCTCTCCTAGAGATCCCGTGGGCAGAGCTGAGAAGGAGAGGCATATACCAAGAAGACTACGCCTCTCCTCCTATGCTTCTTGCTGACCACTCCCCAGCTGCCAGCATGTCGCAGGGCAGCATCAGCGGTTCTGCTGCCTCTGCTGCCGCCGCTGCCGCCGCTGCTGGTAGTAGCAGCAGCAGGGGAGGCACTCCCAATGGTTCTGCTGCCACTGGTGGTGGCGGTAACAGCAGTGCGGGTCCCAGAGCTGCTGGTAATAGCACTAGCGCAATGGAGCTAGACTCGTTTGTTGACCTGTGCTTGGATGAAATGGTGCCCTCTGAAAAGAATGAGCAGCTGCTGCATCAGCAGCAGCAGCAGCAGCAGCAGCAGCAGCAGCAAGGGAGGGGTGGAGGGGGAGCGGAGGAGACGAGCTGTGGCAGTGCGAGGGACTCAGGCAAGGGCACTGGGGCAGGGATGGGTGCTGGTGGTGGGGAGAGCAGCAGTGCGAGTGCGAGTGATGGGTTGACGACGGAGGGGTCGCAGGCGTTCATGCTGCTCACCAACCGCAGCCCTGCCATCACGGAGAGGGAATTCCGCCCCTTCATTCGCCATGGTAGGGACTCACCCCTCCCTCCCCCCCTCCTCCCCTCCCTCCCCCCCTCCTCGCCTCCCTCCTTCCCTCACTCACTCACTCATTCACTCATTAACTCACTCACTCACTCACTCACCCTCTCTCTACCATACCACAGCCATGCTTGTCATCCCGCGGGTCTCGTCTTCACCTCATTCGCACGCTCATTTCCATCATCCCATCATTCTCCACCTCTGCTCACCCCATCCCTCACACCTCCTCCCCTCCCTCCCCTGTTCCCCCCACATCCCCAGCAGACATACCCATGATCGTCCCGCCGTCTCCCGACTCTCTCGAGTTGACTTTTGAGTCGACTCAAAAGTCACCTCCTCCCCTCCCTCCCCTGTTCCCCCCACATCCCCAGCAGACATACCCTTGATCGTCCCGCCGTCCCCCGACTCTCTCGCGCACGCAGCAGCGCTGCTAACAGCAGCACAGGAGCACGAGCATCAGCAGCAGCGCGCTCTCGGCTTCGGCGGCCTGGACCGCCGCCTGCTCCTCTGCATCCTCTCAACCATCGACTCCCCGCGCGACTGGCTCTCCTTCTCCCTCGCCTGCAAGCCCTGGCGCGCAGCAGCCTACTACGGGCTACGCTCCCTGCGCCTGCACCGGGGGCGGAGAGTCAACACGAACGGGCTCATCCGCGCGCTCTCCCACTGCCCCAATCTCACTGCGTTAGACATTCCCGGGATGAGCCTCGACCAACCGGTTACCAACGATCTGCTCTGCACCATTGGGTATTCGTGTCCAGACCTCCGGCACTTGTCAATTGGCGGTGATCCCGAGCTGGGGTATTCGTTTCGGGAGTCGGGGCTGGCGCTGCTGTTCTCAGGGTGCACGAATCTCGTTGACTTGCGGCTGGAGGCGTTTCAGAGGATTCGGGTGAAGAGCAATGGCAGCAGCAGCAGCAGCGGCGGTGGTAATGGTGGTGGTGCTGGCGGGAGCGGCAGCAGCAGCGGCGGCGGCAGCAGTAGCAGCTTGGTTCACAGTGGCAGCAGGGGCAGCATTAGCGATTTGCTGGCAGCTGCTACTGGTGACCGAGCAGGAGCAGCAGACGCTCTTAGCGACAGCAGTAACGATCTTTCCTTAATCACCACCACCCGTTCCTCTCTCCCTCTCTCTGTCAACACAGCTGCCGCCGTCGCAGCAGCAGCAGCAGTAGCCTCCTCCTCCGCTCTCTCCGCAGTCCTCTCCTCTGCCGCCTCCGCCGCAGCCTCGCTCTCATCCCACCACACACCGCCGCCTCAAACCGACCCAAACACCACAGCCACCGACGGCATAACCTACCTACCAGAAGCCCTAGGCGACCTCATCCATCTTCAAACCCTAGTCCTCAGCTTCCACAACGGCCGCCACCACGTGCGCCTCCCTGACTCCATCGGCCGCCTCTCCGCCCTCCGATCTCTCGAGCTTGCCTTCACTTACCCCGCCTGCGTCCCGCCCTCCCTCTGGTCCCTCACTTCCCTCCGAGTGCTGCGTCTGGTGGGCTGGAAGGGCCTTGCTCTCCTCCCCAACTGCCTCGGCGAGCTAGCTAGTCTCCAAATCCTCGACCTCCGCTGCTCCGAGCTCGTAGACCTCCCGCCGTCCGCCGGTCTCATCCACTCTCTCCACGAGGTGGTCTGGGAGACCAAGCGCACGCGGGAGCTCGAGGCCTTTGGCTCATCCGTGCCCCCATCCATTGTCGACTTCCCTTCCATCCGCCGCCTCACTCTCAAGAACGTCTGGACTGTCTCGGGGGACATCCAGCACCTCTCCGCTCTCACCCGCCTCGACATCTCCGGAGCTAAGGGCCACCTGCGCTCGCTCCCCGAGGCTATCGGCAGCCTGCCGAACCTCGTCCATCTGGACGTGCGCGGGTCGTTCCGAGCCATCCCGACGTCCATCGGCCGCCTGCGCCGGCTCGAGGTGCTCCGGCTGCTCAGCGAGGTCCTCGAGGTGTTACCTCAGGAGCTCGGGGATCTAACCAGCCTTCGCCAGTTGCGTCTCGACGGGTGCCGCGCCAACCCGCCTCTCCCGGACTCCCTCTGGCAGCTGCAGCAGCTGCGGGTCCTCTCCATGCCGTGCGACCGCGTCCCGGACGAAATCGGCGACCTGCAATCACTCCACGCGCTTGAAATCGACTGTGATACGTCCCGCTCCTCCCCGCACCATGCGCTGCCGGCACGCATCGGCTGGCTGCGAGAGCTTAAAGAGTTGCGCCTCGTCTGCCCCTACCTCCGCTCCCTCCCAGCCTCCTTTGTCTCCCTCTCCTCCCTGCGAGAGCTCCAGCTGCAATTCGCCGGCCCGCTCCCCAAAGACTTTGGCCTCCTCACCTCGCTCCGCCGCCTCGTGCTCGACAGCCGGGAAGTTTATGCGCTGCCCGAGTCCTTCGGCGACCTGACCGGGCTCGAAACTCTGACCCTCGTCGGCGAAAAGCTATCCACCATTCCAGAGACTTTCGGAAACCTCTCCTCGCTGCGCTCCCTCTCCCTCGTGAACTACTCGGGCCTCACCAGCCTGCCTGCCTCCTTTGGCGATCTCTCCAGCCTCACCCGATTCGAGGCGTCCTGTCGGGATCTTTCATGGCTGCCCGTGTCTATCGGAAACCTGTCATCGCTGCAGGTGCTGGAGGTGCAGAGCAGAAGGTTGTCTCAGCTGCCCGAATCCTTTGGGAACCTTACCTCCCTGCACACGCTGAAGCTGCACTGTCCCATGCTGCGCTCTCTGCCTGCTAGCTTCAGGCAGTTGCCTGAAATGGTCCGTGCTCATGCAGGTGTGAAGCTGTATGTGAGTTAGGTGTATGCATAGATCAACAGGTCTTCATAGAGCTTCAAGGGGTTACCGGTATTGCTTCCTCACCTCATGCATGCTTAGCATCTTTTCACATCTTTTTATCCTTGTACCATACCATGCCTCCACCCCAGTGAACCGAATGCTTTCTAGCCTGTAGATTCTAGCCTGTAGATTCTAGCCTGTCTGCTTCCATGTTCTCCATGGGTGCTCATGGAACCTTCTAACCCCTGACTGGAGCCTAGCTCTCTCACCAGGGTATGCTTAGTTTGTGGATGCTTGGCCCATCATGTCTGCATGGTCTGCATTTCTGTTTCTGCATGTACCCTTGTATGAGAATTCCGAATCTATTGCCTACTGGCCACCATTAGAGAATTATGGGGACCACAATACATTTGAGTACAGTTTGACTAGGGAGAAAGAAGAAAAAAACAAGTGAAAAAGGGAAGCATACTAGTATAGCACTGTCTGAGGCGTTCATTCTTGCCCCAAAAAAAACAACACATGTGAAAACGATCTAGAGATTGAAAAGTATAACTGCCTTAGGGCAGCTCACATTCTGCATGAATGTGGTCGAGTGTATTAGTTCCACGGAAGCAGGTCTTCATTTTGCAAGCCTGGCAAAAACGGGCAGCCTGGACCCACCTCCGTTCAAGTCGTCGCGCCACGTCAGCGCACGATTGGTATCTTTCTCCGACAAGACTGCCGAACCAATCTGGTCGTTGGCCGCAGAACGTTCAGAGCCGTTCAATTTAGACTCGAAAATGATGTTGCGAACAACACTCTCCACCGAATCGAAGTTGTAACTGAAGCAGGACGCGGTCAAGTCGTGTGCCGACGAATCTAGTTTCGCCGAAGAGCGACAAAGCTGTTCCAGGTCGTCGGCGACAATGCTACCACCCTTCCGCACCATAACACCTGCATCCTCCAAACCTGCTGGCAGCAGGTTCGGGCTCATTTGAACACTACCAGGGCAGCTGCTGCTGCTCATGCTGCTGTCAGGGGAAACTCCCTGGTTGAACCATCCAAGCTTGGAGCGTATTTCAGGCGAAATTGGCCCGCATTCAGGGGTTGACTTGCCCGACATAGTCGAAAACCCAGCGGGATTAGCGACACCAGCGTGAGCTGGGATGTATGCGGCACTGCCGTTTGCCTTGGTAGTAAGGCTTGACGTATCGTACACTGAAAAGGGGACGCCTGCTTCTTTCACCCCACACATGCCGTAAGCAGAAGCGTAAGTAGTAGTAGTAGCAGCAGCAGCAGCAGAGGCGGCAGCGATGCCGTCCGCATCTGCATATCCTCCCTCCTCCTCCTCATCATCCGACTCATCACCCCACTCCCCGCGCCCACAGATCCAATCCCGGCCGCGACCACAGCTGCTGGCACTGCTGGCGCTGCTGCTGCTGCTGATGGTGCGGCCAGAACCACCCCCATCTTCCAGCCCATCAGACGCAAACACATCTTCTCCACCAGAACCCCCAGCACCACCAGCACCACCACCAGCACCAGGAGCCACGGCGGCATTAGCAGCAGCAGTGGCGGCTGCTGCAGCAGCTGCAGCCGCAGCAGCAGCAGCCTGGGCGTGAGCATGGGCGTCATACGGCACATAGTCTTCATCTTCATACAGCCCCAGAGCCATCTCTGAGCACCTAGCCATTCCTGCCAGCCTCGTCTGCCTCCATTCCGCAGCTGCAGCCGCCGCCACCAGCAGCCTCTCCGACCCTGCCTCCTCCCTCTCCTCCTCCCCTTCTTCCAGGTCCAAACTCTCGGGCAGGTCGAAAGTAACAGTCCGGGCAGCAGGCGCTGTTGTTTGCACAACATGCGGGTGGCATGGGTGGCTGAACTCGGATGGTGCAGACATGAACATGTCCTCACCACATGCAACACCATACATGTCCTCCGCTGATCCCATGGGGATGAGATCGGAGTCGTATGCATCGTATCCATTCATCCATGCACCGCCGTTGCCACCATGCTGCATCGTCACCTCCTGCTGCCACTGCTGCTGCTGCTGCTGGAGGTGCCAAGGCATGTGAGTGGAAGGAGGAGAGGTCAAGCCAGCAGCAAACGACGCACCAGGGCAGGGTGGCGAAGAGGATGTGCGTCCAACACCACCGAGACTACTGCCGCCACCGACACCACTTCCTGCCATTCTCGTCCTGTAAGGCCCTGCCAGGCCAAGCTGAGGAGGGCATCTGGTTCTGCCGGCACCGGTTGCAGAAGTGGCGGCGGACACAAGCACTCCTTTACCACCACTCGCTGCCCCGTCTTGCAGTGACGCCGCTGCCGCTTGTGACTGCCGCTGCTGCTGCTGCTGCTGCTGCTGCTGCAGTTGCTGCTGCTGTTGCTGCTGCCGTTGCTGCTGCTGCTGTTGCTGCTGCTGCCGCACATAGGCAAGCGACGCATGAGATGAAGCAGCAGCGGCAGCAGCCGCCGTAGCAGCAGAGGATGCGGCCATACCGTTGTTCTCACCAAACTGAGACGGATTGTACAAGCCAGGCATGAGCGACATGTATGGCAGGTAGAACCTGGGGCAGGGCGCACCTGAAGCAGCAGCGGCGGCAGCAGCAGCAGCAGCATTAGCTGCCACAGCTGCAGCTGCAGCGGCAGCAGCAGCGGCAGCGGGGGATGCGGGCATGACTAAGTGCATGGAGGAATTAAGGGAGGCGGCAGCAGCAGCACTGCCAAGCGGCATGGAGGGTGGAAGCATGGGCGGGATCATGTAGCCGAGAGAAGAAACGGGAACACCAGCCACAACGCCACCAGACGCTGCTGCAGCAGCAGGTGTGGAAGAAGGGGTGTTACCGCTGCTGCCGCATGTGTGGGCAGCACTCCAGCTGTACGCACGAGGAGCGCGCCTTGATGCCCATCCGCTCCCTCGCCTGCCGCCTCCCCCACCTTGCTGCTGCTGCTGCTGTTGCTGTGAGTGTGACTGCTGCTGCTGGTGCTGCTGATGATGCTGATGTTGATGATGCTTCCACGCCTGCTCCTTCTTGTCCTGGTCTGATTCCTCTGCCTTGCTTTCCCGAACACCGCCTCCCTGCTGCCCCTGCAACTGCATGTGCAGCTGCTGCTGCTGCGGCTGCGACCGTCCCTTCGGCTGCTCTCTGCTCGCCTCCGTCGCTGAACCAGCGGTTTGGGTGCACTGACCCGCGTTCTCGTCGCCGCCAGCAGCAGCAGCAGCAGCAGCAGGAGGAGGGGAAGAAGCCGGGGAGAGGGCAGCAGCAGGAGAGGCGAGAGAAGCAGAGGCCGGGGGCTGAAGAGGCTGTCCGAGGGGCAGCAGCGAGTCCCACGCGCTGTCCGTTCCCAGCAGCTCCTGCAGCGTCGCCGTGCGCCCCTCCTCCTCTCCCGCCGCACCCCCGTCGTCTCCCCGCCTCTCACCACCGTCGTCTGCGCCACTCTCCTCTCCGCTCCTTGCGCTCCGTGCGTTCCCTGCAGCTGAAGCTTGCTCGTCTCCGCCGCGCTCCTCCCGCGACTCATGCGACTCCTCCTCCTCCTCGTCCGCCTGCCCTGTCGCAGCGTCGTCTTCCAGCAGTCGCAGCATCTCGCGCGCGCGATCCAGAGCCTGCGACAATCACATGCGTCACAAACCACGTCAGCACGACACGCAACCACTCGAGGAAAAAAAGCAACGAACCCAAAACGAAAAAAAAAACTAGTGAAAACAAGACCCCAACACAAAGATAGAAGAGCGCGCGAGCTTCAAATGGTTGGGTGAAGAGGGGAAAGGGATTTCAGTACAATACCTTTACATGGGAATCAGAAGCGCTGCTGCTGGGGCTGGGGCTGCTGGTGTTGCTCTTTCCGCTACCACCGCCTCTGCTCGCATCAGCCACACCGGCACCGTCCTCTGTGTGCTCCTCTGCCTTGTCGTCAAACGCCGCTGATTCCTCCACACAAGCTTCCGAAACAGCAGCTGCAGCATGAGCAGCATCAGCAGCACCATCGGCCGACTCAGCAGCAGCAGCGATATCTTCTTGGTTGCTGGTGCTGCTGGTGGTGCTGCTGGGGGAGTGCGCGTTGGCGCCGCTGGGTCCGGTGACGGAGAGCAGCAGGCGGCGGGCTTCGCGCACCTTGCGCTGCTTCAGCAGGCACAGCGCGAGGTTGCACACCTTGTTGTTGTCGCGCTCGATGCGCAGCGCCTTCCTGCGATGCGCGCGCGCGCGGAGGAGGAGAGGAACGCGGGGGGGAACGCGAGGAGAAAGGGGACACGGTGGAACAAGGTGAGAACAGGCCAGGGGTTGGGGCTGACGAGCGGGATAGAGTGAGAGAGAGTGGAAGGCAACGAAAGCGAGGCGACGACACAACGAAGTACCACCACACATCATCATACGGTCATACCTATACACGAATTCCGCCGCCTGGTAGTTGGTACACTGCATGTACGCCCACCCCAGGTTCCCCAGCAGCCGCGTCGCCTCCTGCTCCAGCGACACCTGGAACTTCCTCCCTTGCGACCGCGCCGTCTTCGTTTTCCGACCGTTGAACGCGACGCCGAGGCGGATGCGATCCAGCTTGTGCTTCAGCAGCGCGATCTGATCCTCCACGCGCCCGCACCGCTTGTAGAGATCCAGCAGGATGTTATCGAGGCTCTCCTGCGCCGCGTCGGAGCACTTGTGGCGGAGCTGCTGGACGGCGGCAATGGCGGCGTCCGCCTTGTTCTGCTGCTTGAGCACGATCGCGAGGTCCTTTAGCGCGCTGTCCACGCGGTCGCCCGACGCGATGGCTTGTGAGAAGAGCTGCACGGCGCGGTCCGGGTCCTTGCCCACGAGCTGCGCGCGGGGACGCGAGGAGCGCGCGGCAGGAGCGGGAGAAGAGGGAGAAGAGGGAGAAGAGGGAGCATAGGGCAGGAGAGGGTAGGAGAGGGTAGACGAGAGCAGGGAGGTGAGGAGAGGGATGGAGCAGGGGGGAGAGGGAGACGGGAACACACAAAAATTAGGATTAGTGGGTAGAGGAAATGAGCCAGCAACGGTTCTAAATGCGACCGTAACGGAGCGCATAGGGAGGAGCTAGCTAGCACCCCTGGTGCCAACGTCACCGAGGTACTAGAGCGCACTGCACGGCGCCACTGGCGGCGTCTGCGTCAGCCATTGCTCCCCAACGCAAGGCTACTATTCTCTTCAGCCTTGCGCTCGAGAAGCTAGGCGGGTCATTTACACGGCGAGCGGACGGGAACGGCGGGAAAGGCAGCACGAATCCGTGTCAGGAAATGGGTGTGTGGGGTGGTGAGCATGAAGGAGGGGTGCATGTGGGAGTGGCGAGTCTACGAGAGCGGTCAGAAGATGCAGGGTGGAAGTGAGGCCCGCGCTGCCCGCATGAAGCGTAACTAGAAGAAAACGAGCGGTGGAGCGGAGGAAAATGGTTGCCATTATGCCATTCCGCATGGCTCTTGTATCCGCGGCATCCACGAGACCGTTCCATCAAAGGGCGCTCGCCGTGATACTGAGGGGGAAAGTGCAGGTGGGAGTGCGAGTGAGGGCACACGTGAGATGAGAGCGCACGTGGGATGAGAGTGCACGGCTCACCTGATAGTGCTTCGCTTGGATGTACGGTGATGCGGAGCTGGACCAGGACGTTGCGCCCGACGCGGAGGAGCTTGCGCTTGCGCCTGCGCCGGCTGCGGAAGGAGCGGACGCGGAGGAAGAGGGAGGCGAGGCGGCAGCGGAGGAGCAAACAAGCGCAGGAAGCGTTGCAGTGGAGCAGGACGAACAGGCGGGAGCGGAGGAAGCGGCGGAGGAGGCGGAGGCAGAGGCGGAGGCGGAGAAGCCGAGTGTTGAAGCCATTGACGGAGACGCTGCAGGTTTGTGATTGGCGGACGAAAGCGTGCAGCTCAGGGCGGAAGATCCGGCAGATAGCACGGTAGATGGAGCGTTTGCGCTTGAGACGGTCTGATTGACGAGGTGGTGGGTGTTCTGCCACGATTTGCGGCTTCGACGGCGATGTCTGGGCCCCTCGCAGCCTGCCATGACTTCTCGGTCCGTCAGTCAGCCTCGAGTGGTGAATCTCCTGAGGGGAAAGATCCTAACGAGAAGCGGGTGGTCGGGGAATTTGCCTTACGGCCAGGATCGTTCGGTTGCTAGGGTGCGAGCTGACGGGACGTTGTGCGAAATTTGAGAGAGGTTGATAGGAGGGAGCAGCTGTATCGGAATAGAATTACAGCGTTGCACGCATGGCATTGCTTGATAACGGAGAAAAGGGAAGCCTGGATGGATGACGGTGCGATTATGCCATGTGATAGACAACGTCCTGGCGATTCAGGAGGTTATCCGCAAGAAATGGTGCCATGGATCGTCGGCCCTTTAGATGCGCCTGGCAGCAGCACAATCGCAGCAGGATGATTTGTGTTGATTCATAGCGATGGGTTGGGCTAGATGAACCGGGGTTGGGTTGGGTTGGAAATTGCAATGGGGAAGGGAATGGAGATGGAGGGAAAACAGGTGGGAGCCAGGAGGAGGGAAGAATGCGAGATGTGGTTTCCGCACTGCTGTGCCGCAGCACCTGCTGTTGGCACAGGCTTGGCGGAGAGGAGACTGGTGGTTGGGCGATACCATACCACCTCTTTCCATGCTCTCACTCCCTCCCATACCGACTGGGCCGAACGGTTCGTTTCTTTTTTCCGCTCTGCCCGCAACTGTAGATATCAGCCGCCAAATTTCTCGAATCCATCGCCCCCCACAAATCCGCCCCCGCATTCGCGCTCCGCCGCTCAGCCAACTCTCCCCAGAAGCTCCCCCTCCTCTGGTTCCCGCCCACACCACAAGATTTTTCTCCCCATTTCCCCACAGCCAGCGCGCGGTTGCAACTCCACAATTGATCGGGGCCCAGTGAAGGGCAGTGCGATTGTCTGGGCTCTGCTGGTTCGGCCTGCTGCCCACCAGTAAGGCGAGAGCACGCGCGCACGGTGTCAGATGAAACTGGGGCCAGCCAGTTTGCCTGCAGTGGTAGGGAATTTGGCGTATCCGTTCGCGATGTTACTGCATCGCTGTGTGCGACTGGTTTGGCTCGAGGGAGTGGAACAGTCGTACCTGCTGGTCAGGAGGGCAGCGAGCGGGAGGGAGGTTCCGCCCTGGCATCCTTCTCGCGGTTCGCCGTTCCACGCCCCTCCGCGCGCAGAAGTTGTGCGTGAACCATCAGTGGTAAGTGGATCCGGCGACGGATTTGTTTGGGTCGCCAGGTTTGTCGCACGCCTGTCAAGTAACTGCGGCACGAGTTTGGAAATTCTGTCGCGGGGTTTGGTTGAGAATCCCAAGGGACCCGTAAATTCCGCCGACGACTAGTGTTTTGATTGCAGGTTGTACAAGCCAACACCCACTCACACCAACGTACTGTACTAGTTTGGCTGACCCAACCCAAAACTGTATCTCCCCCCTCGCACAGATGATCATCCATGTCAGAAAGACCAGCCAGATCACTGCTATACGACAAACAGCAACCAGATGCATTTGGTCACTGATTGGATAAGCCAACGGCTCCCTCGTTTTCCCCCTTTCAAAAAAATAAAATATGAGATGCAAGCAGTCTCGCAACCAATATAAAACTCTGGCAGGCACTACATAACGTCGATGCGATTGAATACATCTAGATGTTAACACAAAAGTATTCGTACATCATTATTTGACACCACCACAGAAGTGATGTGGTTTTCATCCCTTCGCTTTTTGCGGACCATACAGTTGCATCACTATTTAACACCACGGCACTGAATAAATTGTACCCATTTACATTCTCCACCACAGACTCGAGAAAACGATTCACAAATGCAATCAGCATCGAACCAATGTGCAGACAATTCCACTCATTCGTGTTCTCTTCAATCCACAACGCTCTCTAGGTCACGTAACAACTGCACATCATCCCTGCAACCTCGCTTGCGTCTCAGCAATGTACACATGCGCTGATACACTTCCTCCAGCTGACTCACCATCAAGCCATCAGTCCTGTCAGCTACTCTACACAGCACTTGCTCCATGACTTCCTTGACTGCTCGCTTCTCCTTCTCCCACTCCTCCCGCCACTCCTCATCAAATCTCACAGTCCTGGGTGGATCATGCATAATTGCATCGGAAGCAGGCCCATCACCCAGACCAGAAGTGTCCGCACCAACACCCGAACCACCAACACCCAAACCACCAACGCCCGAACCACCGACACCATCATGCTGTGGCGCTCTGCCTGAACCTGCTGCTGCCACCCTTGGCACACCTGCTGCTCCTGCTACTCGTGCTGCCGCCGGCACAGTCATGCCTGGCGGCACACATCCTGCTCCTCTTGCTCCTGCTGCTGCTCCTGCTGCCGCTGCTGCTGTGCCTACCTCTGCTTCTGCTCTCCCTTCTCTCACTGTTTCCCTCACCACGTCATGCATAGGAACACGCTTCCCCCTCTCATCTCTTGTAAGTTCTCCCAAGGACTTGAACTTGATCGCACCGCCACCACTGCTGGCGCCACTTATCCCACACGCTGCCTCCGCACCCCGAGGCGCATCAGATGCATCTGCACCACTAAACCCTAATCTATCACGTGCTAATGAGTCCGCTCCTAAAGCATCTGCTGTTACGGCATCACTAGGTGGTCCTAAATACCTGGGAGCAGCAGAATGGCTGCTCTTGCCTGCACTGCTCAGCTTGGACTTCATGCTCCCAACACCAGTATCTCTGCTTCTGCCGCCACCCCTGCTGCCAGGTGGACTAGGTGGTAAGTCCACAGCTGTAGCCGTAGCTGTAGCCGCACCAGTACCAGGGGATTGATGTAGCCCCACAGGAGCAGGTGTTGTTGACTGCTGTGCACCAACTCCAGTCACTCCACTCCTGCAACCCTCCTGCTTACCGCCACCGCTTTGACCAGCCCCGGCCTCATCACCCTCTTCCTCCTCATCCACACCCTCATAGCTATCTGCTACCATCTCCACATCATCATTTCCCCATTCCTCCCTCTCCTCACGCTCCTGTTCCTTCCCCTGAAGCTGCTGTGGCTGCTGCTTGTGGTCCTGCTGCTGTTGGCTCTGCTGATGCTGCTGTTCTTCCTGCAACTCCCTTGCTATACTTAATCCAGCCAATCTTGACAAGCTGCCTCTCACACCGCTGCTGTCACATGCTGTCCTACAGTGCTCATCCCTCATTAACCCCTCCACCTCAGGAGCACCACCACCAGCCCCTCCTCGACCCCCGACTTCCCCACCCTCCCCACACAGCTCCCCACGCTCGCCTTCCCTTCCTCCCCTTCCATAACTGGCATCACCCACGCCATTCCCACTCCCTCCCCGCACTACCCTCTCCTCTTTCTCCACTCCATTGATGATCGCCCCCATGCCTGCCTCCTTCCCACCCCTTTCCACCCTGCTCCCCACTTGAGGCGCCTCAAAAGGCAACACCACATCCGCACAACCTGCCCTCTTCCTCTTGCTGTACCCCCCGGACTTAAAATCCCGCCCCCGGCCTTCAACCAAAAGCACTTCACCTTCTCTCACACGTCTCTCTTCCCTCCTCCCCTGCTTTTCCCCGTCCCCACCTCTCCCGCCAACATGAACTTGGTTGGAATCATCTTTCCCGTGACTGCTCACATGCTGCAATCCCATCCCATCATACCACCTGCCAGACCCTCTCCCTTTCACCGCCTGCTTCTTCCCAACTGCACTTCCCCCTCCACTCCCATCATTCTCCCACCCACTCCGCTCGCCGTCAATCCCTCTACCATCCACACCCGCTTCTCCACTGCCTGCCTTCCTCTTCACCCCGTCCCTCTCCCCTCCCTCCCGCCCCTCCTTATCTCTTCCAACCGCACCAAACATCCGGGTATCTCCTCCGCCCGTACTGCCATTACTCCGCCTGCTGCCACTCTCATACACAAAAATCTCCCCATTCCCCCTCCCCTCCGCCTCCCCGTTCTCCCCAGACGCCTTCCTGCCCCCCACAGCCTCCGGCATAGCCTCCTGTGCTATTTCCCTCACCTTACCCGTCCCAACCGAGACCACCACGCCATCTATCGGACTCCCACCACCCGCATGCTCCTCCTTCCCTCCACCAACCTCCACGTGACTCTGCCGCGCACCCCCCTCACCCTGCTCCTCGCCCTCCGCCTTGCTCTCTTCCTCTGCCCCTTCCCGTGGCTCCCATTGCACTCGGCCCTGCTGCAGTCCCAGCAGCATCGCCTCCACCTCCTTTTCTTTCTCTTCCACCTCTTTGTCCGCTTCCGCTTCCTCTTTCTCATCCGCTACCAAATCCCCAATTCTTCCCTCTAGTGATTGTCGGCCCGGCTCAACTTCCCGCCCTTCCAACTCTCGCGTGCCCTCCTTCCCTTCCCTTCCTTCCCGCCCTACCTTCGCTTCTCTCCCTCCCCCCTCTTGCCTCCCTTCCCTCCCTCCCCCCTCCTCCCTTACCTTTCCCCATTCACTGCCTCTATCCCCATGCACCTCCCCTTTTTCCACACCCCCTTTGCATTCACCCCCCACTTCCCCATCACCCCCGCCCTCCCATCCTCTTCCCCCTTCAACCACCTTCTTCTCCCCAGCACCAACCCTTCCCACCGCATCTTCTCCCAGCCCAGCCTCTCCTCTCACACCTCCCTCCACCACCCCCACCAGTCCACCCACGTTGCCCCCCTCCACATCCATCCCATCCCCCCCTTCGCCACCATGCCCTGCACCATTCGCTTGCTGCTCCCCTCTTGCCACCGCTTCCCCCTCCTTCCGCCTCTCCCCAGTCCCTTCCGCCTTTCCTCCACCTACTCCTCCTTCTCTTCCTCCTCCTCCAGCTCCACCTCCCCCCTGTCTCAGTGCTCCATCTGCGTCTGCTGCTTCTGCTGCCTCCTCTTCCCCAGGTGTGGGTGTTTCTCCTCGAGACCCTGCACACACCGGATAAGGCCCGCACAACAAGAGCTTCAGCTCACGCTACGGCCACGCGTATCATGTGTGTCGTGTGGTGTGGTGTGGTGTGGTGTGGTGTGGTGTGGTGTGGTGTGGTGTGGTGTGGTGTGGTGTGGTGTGGTGTGGTGTGGTGTGGTTTGGTGTGGTGTGGTGTGGTGTGGTGTGGTGCAGTGCAACGCCAGGCATGGTTCCAGCATCCAAAACAGCCAGCCAACCACCCAGCCACCCCCACCCCACCCACCACCCCACACACACACGTGCACAAAAGCGCACCAACACAGCATTGACTCAGTTGAGGCAACAGAATACACCATATACATTCCACGGTCCATCAACTCATCCAACCACCTCTCCATCTCCTACCCTCTCCAACCGAATCCCTCCCTCCCTCTTCCTCCTCTTCCTCCTCTCCTCCCCTGCCCCTCCTCACCTCGCCTGGGTCGTCGACCGTGGGGTTCTGGAGACCAATGCACATGGACACTTCCACACGCACCCCTCTCAGCATGGTGGTTTTTGAGTTGACTCAAAAGTTGTTCGACCGATGCACATCTACCTGCACACACTTTTCAAGTCGACTAAAAAACATCCCTCATCCCCTCCTCCCCCCCCCCCCCCCCCCCCCCCTCCTCCTTTCCTCCACTTTCCTCCTCACCTCGCCTGGGTCGTCGGCCGTGTGGCTTCAGGGACCGATGCACGTCCACCTCCACACGCACCCCTCTCAAGTCCACTAAAAAGGAAATCCCTCATCCTCCCCCCACCTTCCCCCCTTTTCCTCCTCACCTCGCCTAGGTCGTCGGCCGTGTGGCTCCGGAGACCGATGCACATCCACCTCCACGCGCACCCCTCTCAGCCTTGCACTGCTCCGCACAAACGGCACTGACCCCGCCCCTCCGCCCTCCCTCACCCCCTCCTCCCCATCCGCGCCCCCGTCATGGTACCTCTCCCCCCCATATCTCCTCTGCCCATCCACCCGCCCATACCCATACCCATGCGCATGCCCATGCCCGCGTGTTTCCTCATGCTCCTGACCCATGCCCGCCCCATTTCTTGCGCCATCGCCTCCCGTAAAGAGCCCCACATCAATAGACCCCTCTCGGCCCTCTCGGCCATACCCACCCCTGCTCTCACGCCACCGCCCGCCATGCTCCTCATGCTCGTGCCTCCGCACTGCTTGTGTTTCAAATGAGAGGGAGCGCGGAGCGACGTTGCGATGGGAGAAGCGAGGTTGTGGTGGGGAGGGGGGCGAGAAGGAGGGCGAGCGAGTGGCGGAGGCTAGGAGGGGAGGTGGGATGGGTGGGGGCGGGCAGGTCTTGGAAATCTCGAGACACGCTGCTGCTAGTGTGGGGTCGATTTGGGAGATCATGAAGTGAGCCTGTTGGGGAAGGAGGAGGGAGGGGGGGAAGGAGAAGCAGGATTGCACAAGAGACGGGATTACGCAAATGTGGCTGTGAGGCATAAAGAGGGAGAAATAGAGGGGAAGTGAAGGAACGGCTAACGGAAAAAGAGTAAAAGACGCAGCAAGAGAGAGAGAGAAACAGCAAAGGAACAGAAGAGGGAGAGGGAAAGGAAAGGGGAGACGGGAACAGAAAGGCAGAGAAGGAAAGAGAAAAGAAGAGGGAAACACAGGAAGAGAGAAAGAGATTGGGAAATGTAAAGGGAGTGGAAATGGGCAAGCGAGAGGGGGAGAGAGGGGGGGGTTAAGCAAATTTAAGGAGATTACAGAGTCTCTAAGGGCGCAGGCCTTGCTGTAGAGGCGAGTGCCCTGATAGTCGTCACCGTATAGTGCCTGCTCACATGGTAACCACACCGATGTGCCACCGCCACACATGCACACGCACATGCCCACGCACACGCACATGCACATGCACACGTGCATACACCCGCACACATACATGCATGCGTGCACATGAGAACATGTGGGAAGAGGAATGCGGGAAAACACAGGAAAGAAGGAAGGACGGGGGGATGCATGACAGAAAGAGAGTGAGCGTGTGCGAGTGGTGAGTGCGAGGAGTAGGTATGAACGGTAGGAGGACAGAGGAGCAGGCAGCCAAGAGTGCAAATAACACGACAATACAGAGCACCCGACAATACATGCAGAACAAGATAGGAAATAACAGTCAACGACGGCATGGGAGATGCACTCAATGATAACCGCGTGTGAAAAAAACAAAAAAAACAAAAACAAAAACAAAAAACAAAAAACAAAAAATCTCACTCCCTACATCCCCACCGCCCACCTTGGTGCAAGCAGGGATGCGGTCCACGTCTGAGAGGAAACGCTCACTTGATGTCTGACGGTCAAGTCAATGCATTACCACACACCCATCTCCTTTTTATTTCCTACCCGCCCCACCGCCCACCTTGGTGCAAGCAGGGATACAGTCCACGTCTGAGAGGAAACGCTCGCGGCACACGTAGCACCCTGCATCCACTCGCTGCAGCAGCGTCGCCACGTCCATCACACCCCGCTCGCCACCTATTGATGCTCCTCCTGCTGCTCCTGCTGCTCCTGCTCCTGCTGCCGCTTCTCCTGCACCGGTCCCAGCAGCAGCAGCCGCAGGAACAGCAGCAGCGGGAGGAACAGCAGCGGCGGCGGCAGCAGCAGCAGCGCGCTCCTCATGTCCCCCTCTCTCGTCCTCATCATGCCCCTCTTCCCCAGGGCTGCCACCAGTGCTGCCGCCCACGTGCAAGCTGGTGTAGTGAAACGGCTCAAAGCGCCTCTCATACAGCAGCCGGTTGCACACGTCTCTCAGGCACATGCGCAGGCGCCGCAAGCAGTGCTCCTCCGCTGCCTCTGCTGCCGCCTTCTCTGCTTCCGTCTGCGTGCGCTGCAGCGGAGGGGCGAGCGGCAGGGACGGCAGCACCCGTCGTTTCTTTGCCGGCCTGCCGTCCCCACCGCTGCTGCTGCTGCTGCGCCGGCCAATCCCCCATGCCTCTGCTGCTGCCTCTGCTGCTGCTGCTTCTGCCGCTGCTGCTGCTGTTGATGCTTGTGACGCCATGGGCGTTGCTGCAGGATTGGTCTGAGAGTTGTGGGCGCCTTCATGTGGAGTTGAATCTGCAGGGTCCAAGCCTGTTGCAGCAGCAACGACAGCAGCAGCGGCAGCGGCGGCAGCAGCGGCACCACCGGAAGCTACAGCAGAGACAGCAACGGTGGCTGCAGCTGCAGCAGCAGCGGCAGTGGCAGCAGCAGACTCGATAAGTGGGCGAAAGAACGACACGCGCTCGGAACGATTGGGGCACTCAATGGTGTGGCTGCGAGGGAGAGAGGGGAGTGATGCGCGGTGGAGTGGGGGGTAATTTGCCTATTGTGTCGACTCAAAAGTATTTTTTTTAATAGGGGCACTCAATGGTGTTGCTGCGTAGAAGGTGGTGTGGCAGGTAGATTGGCCTTAAGGCAGGATAGGGTGGAGTGGACTGAAGCCCATCCGTCAAACGACAGAATGGGGAGTGGAGAGGGCGGGAGAGAAAACAAAGGGATGATAATCAGAGTTGATGAGATGACATGAGCAAAGGTCAAGCGGCACTACTCAGATGCACACACACACAGCACACGCCTGCTGCACTCAGCGATCCCACATGCATTACCATGCACAAACGAGCGGAGAGGCGGGAAAGGGAGGGAAGGAGGGAATGAGGGAGGGAGGAAGCGAGAGAGCGACGGAGAGAGTCTCACATGTGGAGGGAGAAGAGGCGGCGCAGGGTGGAGGGCAGTTGGTGCAGGGAGCAGTTGGCGAAGGCGAGCAGCAGCACAGGCAGGGAGGGAGGCAGGTCAGAGAGAAGCATGCGCAGCACTGCCCGCTGCACTGGCTGTGCCTGCACGCATGGACGCACCAGGGAGGGATGGGATGGGGTGGGTGGGTGGGATGATACGTTTGGGGGGCGGACGGAATACAACTAAGCCGGTTGAGGGAAGGGAGAAAGCAAGACAGGTTGACATGGGTGAGGATGAGTGGGAAGAGAGCAGCAGGAGCAAGAGGCAGGGAGTGGGGGAGAGAAAGAGAGGAAGCAGCAGGAAGAGGCAGGAGAGGAGAGAAGAATGAGACAAAGCGAGAAAGAGATAGGAGGCAGCAAGGGCGGTACCGTGCACCACCAGAGGTCGGCGTGCGGCAGTTGAAGGTGGAGCGTAGAGAGATACAGAGGGAAAACGACGTAGAAAACAGCAGGGAGAGTACCGTGCGCCACCAGAGGTCGGCGTGCGGCAGGAAGAGGATGCAGCGGGGGCCGCGCCTGGCCTCCGCCACAACTCGCACGAGAGCCTCCTCAGGCGAGTGCGAGGAGGGGTCGGTGAGCAGCGATGGCAGCGACATGGAGTGCACTGGCAGGTGCTCCAGTCGGTGCAGCAGCGCCTGCACCAGGTACACCTGTGAGATCAGGAAGGGAGAGAGGGGATAGCGGGGGCAGGAAGGGGGAGACGGGGCATTGGGGGAAGGGAGACGGGTGGGGTGGGGTTGGGTTGGGTGCGTGGTTTTGAGGTGCCTTGCATGACGATTATTAGGCGCCTGAAAGAAGGAGGGGTCGGTGAGGAGCGATGGCAGCGACATGGAGTGCACTGGCAGGTGCTCCAGTCGGTGCAGCAGCGCCTGCACCAGGTACACCTGTGACAGTGGGGAGTAAGCGTGTGAAGAGGGAGGGGGGCGGTCGGCGAGGGGGAGGGGAGGTGTGTGAGGAAGAGGGAGGGGGGGGTGGTGGTGGGGGGGGGGGAAGTGGGAAGGGGGAGAAAGAAGAGGAAATGTGAAGGAATGTGGAGCATGCAGTGCATGCAAGGGTGGGCGCCGGGGGGCGCACCTGGCCGGAGCCTGGAGGGCCACAGAGCATGAGAGAGGCCTGCCGTGGAGCCAGCTGAAGGGATTGCACCAAGCGGTTGCGCACCAAACGACCGCACTGCCCACCACCACGCACCCCCTCCTCCTTCCCTCGCCTTTGCCCCTTCCCCCGTCCTTGCTCTAGCCCTCGCCCCTGCTCTGCCCCCCCCTTGCTGGCCCCAAATCCGCTTTTCTCCTGATTTTCCTTCTCCTTCTCCTTCTCCTTCTCTTGCTGCTGCGGTTCCGCTTCACAGCCTTCAGCCTCGGCCCTTGCGCCAGCGCCCCTAGCTTGGCCAACCCCTCCCTCCTCCTCAGCTGCACCTGCAGCAGCAGCAGCAGCAGCAACAGGAGACCCAGTGGCTGCTGGCGTGGACTCTACTCCTACTGCTCTACCTGCCCCTCCAGCCCCCCCAGTGTTTCCCACTGCAACTGCAGCCTCTGCCGCTGCTCTTCCTGCTGCAGCTGCCCGGACTGCTGCTGCCACTGCTCGCACACTTGCTGCATGGGCAGCAGCCAGAGAGACACTGGTGGTGGGTTCACGATGCAGGGGCATGAGGTCATCTGGTGACGACTGAGCAGCCACAGGTTGATGGTTCGTGGATGGAACAGCTCCTTCCCCCGGCCCATCTTCTAAAGGAGACACTGCTGCAGCTGCTGCTGCAACTGGCGCTACTGCCGCCGCCACTGCTGCTGCTGCTGCCGCCACCGCTGCTGCTGCTGCTGCTATTGGCGCTGCTGGCACTGAAGCTGTCACACCACCATCTGAGGCCTTACCAGTGCAATTTCCAGCCAACCCCGGCTCCCCTTCACCCGGCACCCTTCCCTCCTCTGCATTTCTGGCCTTCTCACCGGATTCTCGTTCCTCCCCACCCTCCCCATCTTCCCCACCCACCTTCTTCTCCTCTCTGCTACCCCCAACCAGCACTTCCTGCAACACGTCCTTCTCGCACGCAGCACCTGATCGCTCTGGACGCTCTTTTCCACCATCTTCTCCAATCTCGCCCGCCTGCTCCCCGTCTCTCTCCTCTCTCTCCTCTCTCTCCTTCATCTGTTCAGCCCCAGCAATCCCACCCTCCTCCTCTTCCACCTCCATCCTTTCACCACTCGCCCGTCCATTCCCACCAACCTCAACCACCTTCGCCTTCTCCTTCAATACACCATCACTACCCCTTCCTCCTCCTCCACCACTCATCCCCCCTGCCTCCTCCCTCACACCTTCCTCCTCTCTTTCCTCCCCACTCCCTTCCTCACCCTCCTCTCCACCCTCCTCCTCATCCCCCTCCTCCTCCCCGCCCTCCCACTCCTCCCGCTCCTCCAGCAGCCCAGGAAACCCATCCCCAAGCGCCCCCACAACATCACCCAGTTGCCGCTCCAGCAGCGGAGCCACAGCGGGGGGCAGCGGGGCAGGGGTAAACGATGCCGCGCGGTGCGCAGCAGGCTTCACATCCAGCAGCGCCTCGAGAAAGTGCGAGCGGTTGACTTTAACCGTCGACGGGTCGATCACAAACCGCTCCTCGCTCTCATACACCTGCGGGTACGTCCGTCTGAACGCCCGGATCGCAGCCTCCGCACAGAGCGCACGCATGTCTGCTCCACAGAAGCCCACGCTACGCGCCGCTAGCTCTCTCACCAACCCCTCCTCCGGCTTCCTCTCCCACTTGCTGGTGTGGATTCGGAGGATTTCCTCCCTCGCGTGCACATCTGGGAGAGGAAAGAAGAACTCCCGATCGAACCTGCCTGGTCTGCGCAGCGCCCCGTCAACAGCATCAACCCGGTTCGTCGCTCCGATCACAATCACCTGCCCGCGCGAATCCAGGCCGTCCATTAGCGCCAGCAGCGTGGACACGATCGAGTTGTGGATCTGCTCCTGCTTGCTCGATCGGACGGGCGCGAGGCCGTCGATCTCATCAAAGAAGATAATCGACGGTGCGAGGCGCGCCGCTTCATCAAACAGCGCCCGCAGCTGCCGCTCCGACTCGCCCACCCACTTACTCAACACATCAGCGCCTTTCCTCATGAAGAACGATACGTTTGAGCCTGCTCTCGCTGCTGCGCTTGCTAGCGCACGCACCACAAGGGTCTTTCCTGTCCCAGGGGGGCCGCAGAGCAGCACGCCTTTCGGGGGGGATATGCTGTATCGAGCGAAGAACTCCGGGTAAAGCAGCGGAAAGAATACCATTTCTTTGAGTGCTCCTATGTACTTGGAAAGCCCGCCCACTTGGTCGAACGTGACTGACGGGTCGACACGGAGAGGCTGTATGTCCGCCCCTACTTTGGACCAGGAAGTTGATGACTTGCCCATCACTGCACCCAATCCTGCTGCCACCGCTCCACCCACTCCTCCTGCTCCTCCTCCTCCTCCTCCTCCTCCTCCCCCCCCCTCCTCCTCCTGCCCCGCCTGTTCCTCCTCCCCCTCCTCCTGCACCTGGGGTACCTGCTGCTACCCCACCTCTGCCCGCACCTCCTCCTCCTCCTCCTCCCCCTCCTGGCATGGCAGCAAAGCCAAGCCCACCCGCCGCGACACCAACCGGGCTCCCCGCCACTTCCTCCCCACCGCGCCCCCGTCCGTCGCCCCCTGCTGCACCCCCTCCCTGCTGCCACGCCCAGCCACTAGCAGCGGCACCATCAGGTCCTCCCCATGCTGCTGGCCCAATGGCCTCCACGCCATGGGAGAGAATGGAGTGCTCTAGAGGGCCTGCTCCGCCCCAGTGTGCTCCCAGGCTTCGCATCTCTGTATCATCTACCACTAGTGAGTCGTCTGACACATCACCGCCCCGCAGGGACCGCCGCGAAGACCCGCCCGCTGTTCCTGCTCCTGCTCCGCCGCCTGCTGATCCCCCGCGCCCGTACTGCTGATGCTGGCTGTGGGAGTGGTGGTGAGGCTGCTGCTGCTGCTGCTGCCGCTGCTGTTGCTGTTGCTGTTGCTGCCTGGCAGCAGCAGCGAGGGAGACTCTGAGGGAATGGCGCTGCCCCTCATGTGCCTTACCACCACTGGTGCCACCACCACCACCCGCACCTCCTGCTCCTGCTCCTGCTGCTCCTGCTCCTGTGCCTGCTCCTGCATTGCCCCCTGTGTGTTGCCGGCTTGCTTCAGCTGTGAACCTGCGTAGGGCCCCTCGGGTGCGCAGAGTAAACTGGGCTCCCGACGATGCCAAACCCCCACCACGCCTCTGCTGCTGCTGCTGTTGCTGCTGCTGCTGCTGCTGTTGTTGCAGCCGCGGCGCTGGTTCCCTGCTTCGCAGTGCATACCGCCCTCGTCCCTCCTCCTTCTCCTCCTCTTCTTCCTCTTCCTCCTCCTCCTCCTCCTCTTCCTCTTCCTCCTCCTCCTCTTCCTCTTCCTCCTCGTCTTCTTCCCCCTCCGCATGCCTATCCTCCCCTTCGTCTGCTCTCGCAGCTCTGGATCGAGTCCTTGGATACCTATCCTCCTCGCCTTCCTCCTCCTCCCCTTCTTCCTCCTCTTCATCTTCCTCCTCTTCCTCCTCCTCTTCCTCCTCTTCCTCCTCCTCCTCATCCTCATGACCACCACCCTCCGCACCCTCCTTTTCGTCAACCTCCTTCGATTCCTTCTCTCCCACTCGCTTCTCCCCATTCGTTCTGTCCCTCTCTCGAGCCTTGCCCTTTTCTTTACCACTCACTCCTACTCCTTTACCATCTTCCTGCACCTCATCCTCCACTTTCTCGCTCCCTTTCTTCTCCTCCTCCTCCTCCTCCTCCTCCTCCTCCTCCTCCTCCTCCTCCTCATCCTCATTATCCTCCTCCTCCTCATCCCCTTCGTCCCCCTCCTCGTTCTCCTCCGCCTCCTCCTCCTCCACTTCTTCCCCTTTACCTGCTTCTTCCTCGTTCTCCTCCCTCCGCCCTCGTCTCCTGCTTGACCTACGCCCTCTACCCTCTGTCACCTCCTCCTCCTCCTCCTCCTCACCACTATCAGGCAATTCCACCACCTCCGCCCGTTTCCCTCGCATATCCTCCCCTCGCCCCCCTTCACTGCGCATCCCACCCCCTTCAGCCTGTCTCCCTCCTCCCACACGCTTCCCACTCCCCGCCCTTGACCCCGCCCCTTCCCCCCCACCTTCAGCCCCATGCCCTTCCTCTCCCCCTCCCCCCTCCCCCACTCCCCCTTCTGCTCCAGGTTCCCCTTTCCCTTTCACCTCTGCCCCATCCGCGCCCACAGCCGACCTGTTAGATCGCCTCAGCTCATACGGCGATCGCAATACCTCCTGTGCCTCTGCTTTACCATGCCCTCTGCCCCCTTCACCCTCGCGCAAGCTTCCGCCCTTACCCGTCCCGCGACCACCATCCTTCTCCCTTTCCCCGCCCTCCTGCTGCCCCACAACGCCTCTCTCCAATCGACCCTCCACCCCCCTGGCCTCCCTCTCCCCACGCTCCCCGCTCCTCCCCCTCTCCCCACGCTCTCCGCTCCTGCCCCTCTGCCCACGCTCTTTCTCGTCCCTCAACTGCCACTTCAACCCCCGCCCAACGTCCTTCACTGTCCCTTGGCCTTCCCGCTCCTTCTCCAGCCCTGGCAACCCCCGGTTTCGCTTCGCCCTCCCCTCCTGTCGCCCGTCCCCCTCCTGAACACCTAACCGACCCTGGGCCTTTCCCGGTACTCCTTGCATCGATCCGCGCGCCACCCCACACGCAGCCCCGCTTCCCCTGCCTTGTTGCTTGTGCTCATGCTCGTTCTCCCCATCCGTATCATCATCTCCGCCCTCCTCCACCCACACCTCGTTCCGCCTGCGCCCATAAACCCTCTGGCTTCTCCTCTCCCTTGCTTGCTCTCTCCCTCTCCTCTCCGTAGCCCGTACACCTGCGTCCTCCCCTTCCCCTTCCCCCTCCCCTTCCCCTTCCCCCTCCACCTCCTCCTCCTCGTCTTCCTCCCCCTCCTCTTCCCCCTCGTGCCCCTCCTCATCGTCTTCCTCCAGATGTATAGCATCTTCCTCCTGCCTTCTCCCTTGCACTACCTTCACACTGCGCCGTCTCCGACGTGTGTATGCTCTCGCTGAGAAGAACGCACGGTCATCGTCCTCCTCCTCTTCCTCCTCCTCTTCCTCTTCGTCCTCCTCCTCGTCTTCCCCCTCCTCCTCCTCCTCTTCCCCTTCCTCACCCATTTCTCGTGCCTCCCCCTCACCGTGACTCTCACTCCCATGATCGTCCCCTTCCTCCTCTTCCTCCTCCTCCTCCTCATCCTCCTCCTCCTCATCTTCCTCGTCGTCCTCCTGTCCCCGCACACGTCTCCTGCGCCTCAACACTCTCCCCCTCCTCCTCCCCTCCTCCTCCCGGCCATCCAGAACCGTCATACCCATCGCCTCATACCTCTCCCTCATCGTCCCTCCACTCTTTCTCCTCGGCCGTAACCCCTCCCTTCTCGGTGGTTCCCGCCCAAAACCCTCCCCTCTCCCCACCGCCCCACCCCCTTCTCCTTGCTCTGCCTGTCCGCCGCTGCTGCTCCTCGCCCTGCCCCCATCGCTCGGACTACCATACTTCGAAGTGAACCCCGTTCGCCTCTGGGGAAACCGTTCCTCGTCTTGCCTGCGCCGATCCTTCCTTGTCCCTCCTTCTTGCACGTGCCCGTCTCTCCTGGTCGTGCCCACCGTCACGAGATCTGGCCTGCTGCTGTTGCTGCTGCGGCGAGCAGGAGGGGAGGAGCGTCCCCAGTCGGTGTGAGAGCGACGGGCCATGAAGGAGCGAGAGGTAGACGTGTGGGACGGCTTCTGCGGAGAGCAAGGGAAAGAGCATGAAAAACATTGTTTACGGGGTGAAATAATATTTACGGGGTATAAGGAATTTTACCGGGTGAAACAAAAAAAATACGGGGTGAAAGAGAGAAGCAAGGAAGATACTGTTACACGCACACCCACACAGACACACACACACACACACACACACACACACACACACACACACACAGAAAATAGCTCCGCTTCATAGTTTACTCTGTGACCAGCATATGGGTAAGTGCGATAGGCAGGGCCATTGGCCGTACCTGCTTGACTTTCTTGACTGATGGGGGCCGGTACGGGTCAAAGTCGACGTACTCAAAGTCGATGTTCTCTGGGGGCCTTGAGTCGACTCAAAACTCAAAACTCAAAACTCAAAACTCAAAACTCGGAACTCAAAACTCAAAATTCAAAACTGAAAACTCAAAACTCAAAACTCGGAACTCGAAACTCGTACCTGCTTGACTTTCTTGACTGATGGGAGCCGGTACGGGTCAAAGTCGACGTACTCAAAGTCGCTGTTCTCTGGGGGCCTTGAGTCGACTCAAAACTCAAAACTCAAAACTCAAAACTCAAAACTCGGAACTCAAAACTCAAAACTCAAAACTCAAAACTCAAAACTCAAAACTCGGAACTCGAAACTCGTACCTGCTTGACTTTCTTGACTGATGGGGGCCGGTACGGGTCAAAGTCGACGTACTCGAAGTCGCTGTTCTCTGGGGGCCGCCTCTTACGCCCGGATCGCCGCAACTCGTACGACTTTGTGTTGTTCGCCGCGTCGGGGCTCTGGGCGGGATAGGCGGGAAGCGGAAGGGACGGGACGGGACGGGACGGGACGGGACGGGACGGGACGGGAAGACAGACGGACGCGCATGACCAAAGGCACAGGCACGTGCTCATGTGTGACGTGCTCACGTACTGGAGTATTCACAAGCTCACGAGCTCGCACGGATGCTCTGAACTGCCTTGCTAACCATGGTTTCCTCGCAGTACCCGAGCCTTCTTCACGGCTCCAACTCGCCGCGATCGTACCATAGCAAGTCATTTTCACGCATCACACGCAGAACAAGGGAAAGAGAGCCCGGAACAAAAGGATTCCTATCGCCGAATTCGTCGTATAAGGCCCATACCTACAGTGCAATCAGCCACATCTACAGTACACGCAGCGTACTTTGTGCCTCCGCGGATCCACAGCTAGCGCACTGAATCGGAGTATCCACTACCGCGAACCGCTTCGGCCACGCCGCCAACCTCAGATACAAGTTAACGTCACAAATCACCGGATCCCGACCGTTTAGCCGAGCAAGAGTCGTCTCGTAACTCTGTGGCAGCGATCAGAAGAAAATCAACTACACTAACATGATGCTACACTGCTGATAAAACCGATATTGATATTCCTGCTACACTAGTACCACGCCGGTAGTCCCTTAAAAGCCGCTGCAATTCTCACAACCCCACCGATCGTCACCTTAACGGATCCCATCGTGCTACCCACCGGAGCGGCTGTCGAATCTCGGCGTCTCGGCAGCACGAGAGGAAGAGTCGCGTCGAGCGAGGAAATATTCGACGGCTTCGACGTGAAGCGTGTCCCTGAGACAAGTACCACATCGCTAGCACCTCTGCTGCGCTCGTTCTGCTGCTGCTGCTGCTCTTGCTGCAGCTGGGGCTGCCTCTGTTCCTTTTGCCCTAGCGCCACGTCAGCGTCCCAGCGGACGCTTTTGTGAGTGTCTTCCATGCGTGCTGACGTGTCCAAGCCTTCTAACACGTCGACGGCCAGGCCTGCTGCTGCTCGACTATGTGCGAAGTGCAAAGCACAGCTAGCTTTGCGAACTGTTTCGCTTGAGGCTCAAGCCGTCCCGACAACTTCAAGGACACACTTCTCGCTCCCTGCAGGGGTTGCTTTAGATCTGGAGGCTGGTGGTGTGTAAAAAGGGTGACCAATCGCAAATGTCCACCCACGCGAATGTATGGGTGTGATGGTATGGAGGGGACCCGCAAGCAAGGAAGGAGACGAGCAGCAGGCGCGGTGATCCGTAGTGTAGCACATCATCATGTGGTGGGGTAACTGGCGCAGCGATGTCATAGGCGAATGGGGGCTTTCAGGTTTGCGCTTGCAGACCACATCAACAAGAGTCCAGACCTCCTGTTATGGCTCGGTGTCGGGGACCCAACCTCATTGGCAGCAGTCTCACTGCGATGAGTAGTGCCCCACAAAAGTATACACTTAAACATGATGATTTATCATGTATTTCCATCAAAATTATTGATGCCTGACGAAATCCATCAAATGTACATTGAAAATTATTGATATTGCAATCTCAGCACATCTATTCTTTTTAAAACCCCATATTTAAGAAAACACTAAAACAAATGGTGCGGTTGAGTGCCAGCTATAGTTGTGAAATCCTCTCGATATTGTAAGTTTTGGCAATGGGAATAACCCATCTTAAAGCGGCAGTATACATTTGACAGCAAGGTTCAGGGTTTTACAGTGTTCCCCACAATTTTGCCCCACCATGTACCATTTATAAACTTTTGGCACTCTCCCAGCCAAATGTATACTGCTGCTTTAATTGGTTTGTAGCTTCACCGTGACCTGCAAGTCTGTTCTCTCTCTATACTTTACCTTAATCTATTTACATGCGAAACAGACATCTGTAGGAGGCAATGTATCTCATAGGTGTAGGAATTCCTATAATGCCTTCTTGTCTTCGATTTGATCACATCCTGAGAGACCACCAACCTCCCTCCCAAGGTGAGGTAACCCCAGCATAACGCGGTTCGTAATTCTGTATTTTAGGGCACCCACGAAGTGTGGTCCTTGGGTCATGACAATCTCCAATTTTATAAGGGCAGTACGTGAGCTTTTTCTTGCTTCTGAAGAAGTTGTTACAACCATGATAAGCCACGTCTGACCTGCAATTCGGCGTACGGGTGCATCTCCCACCACCCCCCCCCCCCCCCCCCTCTTAACCCCTCATCATACACAAGGCAATTTTCTCGAAAACTTCAACGAGGGGTGGATCGTTCACCTGTAGAAACAAGGCCATCAACTTTGGAAATTCTAGCTCACCACCAATGGGATGGGATCAGCGCTCAGAATATCAGGGCGTTTTTTCCTGTCACCGGCAGACATTGCTAGAAAAACGCACTGCAAATCCAGTTTACGCTGATGTGCATCACTGCATTTTCCCAGTTCGTTTCGTCAGGCACCCAGCCTTCTACTCCCTCACAGAATTTCACCAATTCCGCGGCTTTCTCCTCTTAGCCGAAATGTGCCCATCTTACTTGACACATAAGAGTACAAAGTTTCCAGAACCAGCACATTGTGTTGGTTAGTTATTGCCACGACTCTTCCACTTAACAAGCCTCAACGACCTCTCTTAACCTCAACCATCACGCATTCACACAGGAATATACTGGCGATGACCCCTCGTCAGTTCACAATTGAGGGAGACTACTGGGGTCGAGCCAGGGAGGTCCAATTCGACCAGAGTTTCTCCTGGGGTCGTGTGAGGAGGCCCACCAAACAAGGGAAGAGATGGCAACAGCGGGCCCACGTTTTTAGATTTCTCACACTGTCAAAACCGACCTCTTAAATAAACACTGCCATTTATTGGGTACTAATTCTTGGGCACCCTGCATTGTAAGGGTGTAGTGGGTCACAACTCGGGTCTGGCAGTGTACCCCAAAACGAATCGAAAACCCTGGATGCGATGGGATTGATATCTGTGGGCCAGAGATGGTACAGTGGTGGAGTGGAGTGGGGTGGTGGAGACTGGAGATGACCTTCGCGAGTTTCCCACAAATTTCGCGGCTCGGGTGGCCGGCAAGCAACTTTCGATTTGCGCGTGCAGAACTGTTGCATGATGCAAACACAGTTGCCTCGCCCCATTCCCATTGGTCACAGGCTTTGTAACCCCGTGAATCACGACGTGGCAAACAGAGTTTCGTGCCGATTTCGCCGCAAACAGTTTGGGCAACATGTGGCTGGCAACAACCGGTTGCAGCCACCAACCTTTTGTACTGTTATGGCAGGACGTTCATTTCTCCCTCCTGATGTGAAGGGCGGACTGAACGCCCTTCACACGCCCCCAACTACCTCTCCCACCACTACAAGAACAACGACTTCACCAGTTCAGCATATTTCTGAGCTTAGTACCACCACTACAAGTACAACGACTTCACCAGTTGAGAACATCAGTATCGACTCTCACCAAAATTCGGGCTTCTCAATTAAAGCGACGGGCAACTTTTGGCAGTGTTGGGTTCAGAAGTTTTTTTTTTGAACCAGGCTTGCCAGCGCCAAAGTGCTGGCTGGCGAAAACCAGGCTTTCGTGCGGACACTTTCCATCCGCAGTAACAGTTCGCCAGGGTTCTGGGTTTTGGGTGGCAAATGTGCACCGTCGCTTTAATTTTCAACGACTTGAGCAAAATCGACGCCATGATTCACTCCAGATTGCTAGCTCTACTAGCTCTCTGCACGCTCTCCCAGTTGCTCACCTTTTTCCCATCGGTGAGCCTACGTCTCATCCAAACCCTATGAGTTTGACGCATTTGTCTTCGAAGCATGTGACGTGTTCTTTCATATTTTCAAACACAGTCTCACGCCCCGTCGACACCGCTTGGACTCGACGCGTGTGGCGCGCATAACCTCCCTGCTCACTCCAGCATCCCTTCGTCCCTCCCCTGGTTTACCTGCTCCTTGCGCACACTATTCTGCTTTCTGCCACCTATCCTCCCCAGGCGACGCGCCCTATCCGTTTACGCTGTACCTCCCGTCTTCCCCACTCGATTCCCCGCATTGCCCCTTCCCTCCCCTTCCTCCCCTCTTTTCTCCTCCCCCTCCCCTTTCAATCTCCACCAGGTGCGCGCTGCGCACGATATCGCTTCGGCATGTCCCGGGCTACCCTCTCCGTTCGACTTCTCCTACCCGGACCGCCTATGCGGCAATTTGAAAGAGTTCGCGGTGCGGCTAAATGACCACATGCGAGCTCTCAGCCGGGCCGCCGGGCCCATCACTGCCAGCACAGCTGCGGCCGCAGCAGCCGGCGCTCCCGGCTCGACCGCCGCGCCCGCCTCTCTAGCTTCCCCTTCTACTGCCGCACCCTCGGGCTCTTCCCCAGTCAGCACCTCCTCCTCCTCGCCCGCATCAGACGCCACGCTCGCGAACTCGTTCCTAGACCCGCTACCGTCCACGCCGCGCTTTCTGGCGTACGACTCGGGGATAGGCGGGTACGGCGACACGATCACGGGCCTAGTGACCACATTCATAACGGCTCTTCTGGACGGCCGGGCGCTCGTCGTAAAACACCCGTGGCTGCTACACGCGTTCGAGCCGGCAACGTTCGACTGGCGGCCGACTCCTGACGTGAAAATCGACCCGGTGCAGTTCATAAACAACGAGACGGAACCCGTGGAGTCGGGTAGAGTGCCCCGGATCGCGCTCACGGCCATGAAGGTGGATCCCGAGGCGCTCTTCGGGCGCATGGAGAAGTACCCCGTGGTGCGCGTCGCGTGGAACGTGGGGCATCTGACGTACTTTTATAAGAACAACGGCACGTGGGGCGCCAGGTTCCGCTCGCTGGGACTGCGCCCGCCCTTCTCCTTCGGGTGTATCCTGCGGCTACTGCTCAGGTGGGTGCCGGGAGAGAGCGAAAAGGGCAAGACGGTACTATTGCTGATAGGGGTGTCTTGCATTGTCTTTTCCGTTGTGAGCGCTTTTCGTTAGATTTCTTGTCAGATACGCTCCTGCCCGTTGAATCTCCCCCTTTCTCTTAAGCCTTCAGCCGACCGCCCTTGCCCTTACTCATCCGTCCTCTTCCTCACCTGCCTTGTCTCTCTACCGTTTTATCTCCCTCGCCTGTTTCCCTCGGGCCGTTCTCTCTCGGCGCAGGCCGAAGCCGGAGGTGTGGCAGATGATGCGCGAGACGGCGCGCTCGCTGCACAGCGAGCGCGGGCTGAGCGTGGGCGTGCACATCCGCGTGGACGACCGCATCGTGTGGGGCGGACTGCACGGCTACGGCGCGCCCATCACGCTCAACGAAACGCAGATCGGCCAGCTCATGGAACAAGCCAGACCCGCGCTCGAGTGTGCTCAGGTGAGAGGGGAGAGGGAGGATGGGGGATGGAGCATGGGGTATTAATTCTGCCACAGAGGGTGCGAGGTGGCAATGTCCCTGTGCTCTCTTTGATGCTTCCTCGCCCTATCTTTGTTCCTTTCTCCACGCATTCCCCTCCCCAACCGCCGTCCCCCCTTCCCCCCCACTCCCCCCTTTTATCCCACTTTTTTCTGGCCTTCCTGATTTTCTCGCGAGCTCTCTTTCTCAACCCATGAAAGATTCCCTTCACTCGCACCACTACCCGCTCACGCACTCCGTCTCACACGCTCTGCTCTTCCCCTGTGTGCGCGTGCCGTGCTGCGTTTGTGTTGACCCCAGGGCGTGGAGGACTGGTGGCATCCATCGCCAATGAAGACCAAGTGGCTCGTGCTCACCAACTCGCACCAGCTCAAGGAGGCCATTCAGAAGAGATATCCTGACAAGGTACGCGCGCCTCCACTGAAACTGCCACTCTGTATTCCTGCTTCCAGTTTTGTGCTTCCTGATTTTTTTTCCACTGTTACCAGCTGATTATTTGCTCATCCCTGAGTTACCTGCTCCTTCCACTTGCTTATCCTGCCTCCCGCGTCTCCTTCAGGTGGTTGTGACCAACTTTGTGCCGCGGCACGTGAGCAAGAACGAGGACCCCAATTCCAAGAGCAACGAGGCGAGTGAGGTGATGGTGCAGGAGACGGTAGCAGAGTGGCTGCTCTTTGCCTCGTGCGACCGTTTCGTCTTCCCCGACTCGGGCTACTCTCGCACTGCTGCCATGTACGCCATGCGCCCGGCCTCCATGCATTTAACACGCATCTGCAACCCGGAGCACCCTGTGGAGGTTACCACGCTTGCGGAGAAGGGCAGCTCTATTTGACATAGCGCAAGAATGCTGCTTGCTCTGCAAAACGCCGGCAGAACTACATAGTGGAAAGTAGTACGGTAGGTGAGTGGGATTTTGGCCCAGGTCTATACTGATTAACGTTTTTATAGCTATATATGTATCATACCTCAAGAGATAGGAACTCTGAGGTTCCCACCCCGAGCGGAAGCCCATGTTGTAACTTTTGTACACACAAGGTTGCTCCTATGCAGGTTGCTCCTGATGGAGCCCTAATGTTTTACATTATATGGCAAATGTACACGCCAGATTCTTATGATGCGGCTCTCGTCTTATGATGCGTTCGTGGTGGTGACTCACATGACATGGTCACGCCAACGGTCTTCACTTTGCTGACGCAGCACAGAAAACCCCACCCACCTACGTTACTGACGCAGACAGCAGACAGAGAACCCCACCTACCCTCTTTGCGGACACAGACTACCCATAGGGAAACCCCACCAACAACCACTCATGAAAATCGTCCGTCATTGCGCAATAGGGAAGCGTTACATCATGCTGATTACTGTGCATTATAAGGGAACCTGCTAACATCTTGCACATCATTCACCTTTTCACAACTGGTAGGGGGCAAACCAGGTAAGAGTAATTTCTGTTTGACAGAAATTGCAGTGATGAATCTGGATAAATCACACAAGCAGAGTACAAGCCTATCAGCTCCAACAATCCTAACGTCGAAAAAAAATGGGGAAATAGATAACGCCAGGGGTAAAGAACCGTTGCTCTTTTCCGAGTCTCTGAGCTACTAGGTGCAGCCACATTAGCAGCAACAGCAGCAGCAGGAACTACTTGTTAGCGGCAACAAGCGCCTTGACAAGCTCAGCCTTGTTGCCCCCGCGGATGCCCTGGCGTGCAGCCAGCGCACGCAGCTCGCCCATCGACTTGGCCAGCAGCTGCTTCTCAGAGAGCGCAGCACCCGCTCCCGCGCCATTGCTGCTGCTGGCAGCCGGTGCTGCTGGGGCACTCCACGAGGCAGCAGGGCTGGTTGTCATAGACGGGATATGGAAGACACAGGCACAAAGAAGAGAGGATCACATTGAGTCTTCAGGCACATGGTTTAGCGAGAGTAGCAGGACATGCAGCAGAGCATGAACTTACAATGAGCAGAAGCACCCATCTTACAATGAGCAGAAGCACCCATCTTACAATGAGCAGAAGCACCCATCTTACAATGAGCAGAAGCACCCATCTTACAATGAGCAGAAGCACCCATCTTACAATGAGCAGAAGCACCCATCTTACAATGAGCAGAAGCACCCATCTCACAATGAGCAGAAGCACCCATCTTACAATGAGCAGAAGCACCCATCTTACAATGAGCAGAAGCACAACCGAAGTCTTACCTGGCAGCAGCTGCAGCAGCAGGAGCAGCACCGGAGCTAAGCAGCTTGACAAGCTCAGCCTTGGTATCCCCCCTCACGCCCCTAGCCCGCGCCAGAGCCCTCAACTCCCCGATGCTCTTCCTCTCCAACTCCGCCACACTCAACCCACTCCCACCACTGGCACCTCCCGAAACACCCACACCCGCTCCCGCTCCTGCTCCTGCGCCTGCGCCAGCAGCGGCGAGGCGGCGGATGAGGTCGGGACGGGAGGTGGCGTGAATGCCTCGGGCGCGAGCCAGTGCATTGAGCATGGGCACAGGCATCGTCTGCAGCTGCGCCAAGCTCACACCCGCTCCGGTGGCCACGCTGCCGCTCGCAGAAGCACCAGACGAGGCGGAAGAGTATGAGGATGCGGAGGAGGAGGAAGACGAAGAAGAGCTCACACCCAGCTTCTCCAGAATCATATCATCCACGGAGAAATCCGCGGCCTTGCGGAACGTCCCGCGGCCGAAATCCAGCTGGTACGAGTCGCGGAGCCCGTCGACCAAATCGTACTGCGGGCGCCACCCGAGCAGATCCTCCGCCTTATCATTACTCGCAAAGAAGTGCTGGTCGCGCAGAGGGAAGGATTTTTTCTTGCCGAAGTCGAAGTCCTTGGGGGTGTAGTGCACGAGCGTGGGCTTGGGCGCGCCCATGGCCTCCGCGCACGCGTTTGCGATGCCGTCAAACGTCACGTAGCGCGGGCCCGAGATGTTGAACACCTCGCCGATGGCTAGGGGGTTCGCGAGCACCAGCTCGAACGCCCTCGCCAGGTCCTGCGGGTGCGTAGAAGGGGGAGAGGACGGGGAGGACGGGGGAAGGGTAGTGGTGAGAGGGACGACAGGGAGGAGCGAGGTTGAGAGAGTAGTGGTTAATAAGGGCAAGGATGGAGAGGTAGAGGGAATACAATGGAGAGGGTATGCTGGGGTCGCTGGGGGTGATGGAGTGGGTTTGCACGTGATGCTTTAAGTACGCGTCTGTTTCTGGGTTTGTTTCGTGTGCGCGCTGTCCACGGTAAACACGGACCATGACGCGTTGGTTTGGCGAACTAATGGCCGAACCCGACGAGACGAGGTGCTGGTGAATGAGTGACAGCGCTCGGCCGACCCACTCCAAATGCAAATGCCCTCCATCTATCTCAGCCTTCGCTCGCTACCGGTTTAGACATACATCCCATGGCCCCCAATAGGTGTGCACTTCTGCCCCCATCATTCTCCTTCCACCCCTGCGCGCGCCCGGCTGCGGGGCGACCGCGCCCCGACCTCGCACGCGTCCCCTCCTCCCCTCCCCCTCACCCAGCCCCACTCACCTGCGCGCGAGCGCCAGCACACCGCTAGAACCCTCATCCCCACGCTCCTTTTTCGTTCCTCCAACCCCTTATCCCCGTTCGTACCTTAACGTGGCCCAGCTGCGTGACTTGCATGCCGGAGCTGGGCACGGGGATGGGGCGGCCGGCCTTGAGGCGGTGAAAGAACCACTCCTCCACGGGGTTGTAGTTGAGCGGCCCGTAGATGTACACGGGGCGGATCGACGTCCACGGCGCGCCGCGCGCCTGCAGCAGCGCCTCCGTGTCGAGCTTGCCCTTGTGGCGCGACTTGGGATCCACCGCGTCCTCCTGGCAGAGGGGGAGGGGGGGGGACGAGGGAGGGCGAGGGGAGAGGAGAAGATGGGGGGTAAGGAGGGGGAGGGGCGAAGGAGAGGGTAGAAATGTAGGGGCGCGAGGAGAAAGGAGGAAAAGAGGGAGACAAGCGAGATACTGGGTGGGACAAGGAAAAGGATCGATTGCCTCGCGATCTGGAAGCACATGACAGGAAAGGAGGAAGGCAAGCGAGAGAGATGGTCGGACAAGGACGAGAGTATCTTACCTCGCGATGCGGAAGCACATCAGACTTGAGGTAAACTCCTGCGGACGAGCAGAAGATGTACCTGAGGGACACACAAGATAAGGGCGGGGAGAGGGAGAGAGGAATTCGTGAGTGGGAGGATGAACGGGAGCGTGCGCGAAGAAGGATTCACGTGAGGGAGGTGTAAGTATAAAACTTGGTCTTAGCGAACGTAAGCAACTTGGACTAGTTGAAAATAAAAAATGGAATATGTTGAATATTTCTCGTTCAAGCGGTGTGCTGAGAGGTTAGGTGCAGGGAGGCACGGAATGCACCGGAGTTTGGAGGGACGTCCCCAGGAATGGAGATGCGAAGGTGGGGACATTTGAGGAGCAGGTGACAGGGCGGAAGACAACCAATGATAAGGATAATAAGCTACACTGAAATAGGTTCAAAGATAAATAGAGAGTTGACGAAGGGACGCATTTCAGAGCGACCAGAGCCCTGGCACGACACATAGCGTGACAAACAAAAAAATGGTTACTCACTGTTCGAGGCGAGGCAGCGCGTCGAGAATGGGTTCCACCTCTGCGCCTTCGCGGCCGTTGATGTCATACACCACTTGGAAGCCCGACCCGCGCAGCAGTCTGCGCACGCCGTCGAAGTCCTTGCGGTCGCCCTTGATGTGCTTCACCTTGGCGGAATACTCCGCAAACTCCGCGTCCGTCTCCCCCGGGATCTGCTGCGTCACCGGCGCCTTGCCACGTGTGAAGAGCGTCACCTCGTGCCCCGCTTTAACGAGCGCGCGCGCGAGGTACAGCCCGATGAAGCGCGAGCCGCCCATCATGAGGATTTTCTTCGGCGCAACGTACGCCGCTGAGGCAACCACGGGCTCCGCCGCAGCTGCGCGCGCCGATCCAGCGCGCTTCTGCGCGGGCGCATTGCGCTGGTTGGCGGAATGGGAGATGGGAAACAGGGTGGGAAAGGATAAAGGAGTGGATGAGAAGTGGAAAAGCAGCACCAATGGAGGAAACGAAGGAGGGGAAGCAGGGACAGGGGTGAGCGAACAGTGGAATAAGCTGGATGGGTGGATAACGAGGTCGTATTACGTGCGTAGAAGTACGGACGCGCGGGGAAAGATCAACATTCACGATGAAAGCACGATGAATTGTAACAACACCTGCTCACCTTGCTGCTGAGGGCAGAGATGGCGGCGTGCGCTAAGGACGACGACGCGGCGGCGGCGGAAAGAGAGTCATCCTTGCGGAGACCAGAGAAGGAGACGGAGCGGAGAGCAAGCGACGACACATTGTGGTTGACGGCGGCACTGTGAGGAGGCGGGGATGGAAGGGGACATGATTGAAGGCATGGATGTACAGCTGTTGAGGCGAGTAGCTTGTACACTGAGGATTGCCACGCGAGGGTACTGAACGGAAGAAAAGGAAGAACAGGGCGAGATACAGAAAGATGGGGACTCTCGTTCCGCATGGATGCTTTTTTAAGAAGCGACAGAGATACAGCTAAAATGCTGGGGAGAATGCTCGCAAACAGATTAACGAGAGCAGGAGGATGGAGTAACTCACCCGCTTCTGATAGACGTCAGCCCCGCGATGGTGACAGCAGAAGAGGAAACGGTCGCGAGGGCAGCCATTTCAGCTGATCAGGAGCAGAGGCAAGCGGAGGCGAGGGGAGGAAAGCAATTTCGATGTTTGCTGCGGTCTCGTCTACGAGAAATACGAATGCGACAGAGCGTTGAAGCAAGCACAAGGCATCAAGCCACTAGCGCAAGAAAAAGGGGAGATGCTCCAGGTTTGGCGGACCCAGTTGGTCGTCCCGAATCGCCTTGCTTTGTGTGCCAGGCAGCTCCACCAAGGAGGTGAGAAATATCTTGTGGCGCAGAGATGGGAGGAAGCGGGAAGGATGCGAGAAATGGGATCAGATTGAAAGTGGCGCGAACCGCGCGATGTGAGAAGGATGGGAGTGATGAATGCACGCACCTGGCTCGTTTGCGTGGCATGGTCGAGACGCTCAACAACACGAAACGTGCCACCAGACTGAATGGAATGCCATCTGGCAACATCCGTTGGACAGTGATCAGTGTCAGCGTTGACAAATGTGACTGTTGACGTGGAGATCCCGTAATCTGGATGGGGCTAACACCAAAAATACCACCTGTTCTGCCACGTCGATACAAGGGTCGCCGCTTTTACGAAGTTACGATTTGGTGGTGGCTGACGTGTCACACTAATTGAACTCACCTGGACCTGGCAATTGCAATCAGGCATGAATAAGCTCTGATGAGGCAAGCAAACACATGAAATGAAACTGCGACATTTCGTTCGTCAGAGCGTTACCTTGGGATTGACGAAGGAACAATATGTTGTTATTTGGAATAGCCAAACGGCTATAAACGGCATTCCCTTAGATGCACAGCGCGGATCTAAGTGCTTGACGGGGCTGAAGCTCGGTGACTTGCTCATCACAGAAGCAGACGGATTGGTCACGGTAAAGGATCTTCTAATATTAAGCAGGGAGCTGGGGGGAGAGAGTCTAGCCCGATGGGGAGTGGAGGAATGTTTTGTTGAAGATGCGGTCGGCTCAGGAAATCCTCCATGCGACGAATCTGGTGCGCATGGACTCCTCCCGCAGGGGGAAGAATACATACTGGACGGTGCTCAAAACGGAGGGAGAGAGACTGGCGGTTAAAAGAGTGGAGGTGATGGGCGGCCAGCTGGTGCTGGTTTTATACGCCAGCCCCTTCGCCATCAGCACCTCTTGGGCTACACTGATGAAAGAGGTGGACAGGAAGGTATTGGGGCAGCTCGGGCATCACCTCACCAGGCTGCGCAATTCGACTCTATGCAAGGATGGGGAGCTGGTGGCTCTGAAGACCCTACGAAGAGCAATACGAGAGCCACCCCAGAACCAAAGCAGTAGGTCAGCTGGGAGGAGGAGTGTGGAAGGGGTATCAGCTGGAGGGAGGCCATCGCAGAACGGGATTCGTTGGTGGTCCCTTCCAGAGTGAGGGAGACGTTCCTGGAAGCGGGAGGGGTCATAAAAAAAAAAAAATGGGTGCCAAGGAGGAAGCGACAGGAGCGCGGGACCTCTAGTTCCGAAAAACCAGTAGGATGTCGGATTTCCCGGAGCTACTGCTGGTTGCGATCACGTTTCATCAGCTTTGGGTGGAGAGCTGTAGAGCAGTATTCAAACAGGAGAAGTTTCAACACAAGAAGGTGACCAGGAAAATCACAGCGAACTTCATACGACACGTCAAATTTTACAGCAGGGGGAAGGGCATGCCGAGGAGTAAGACAAGCACGGCGAGTGGCAGGGACTGGGGGCACCTAGCCACGGATGAGGCAAGAGCCCTCAACAAAAATTTTGTCCATGAGAAGGACATGACATGGAAGGAGGGATTCCGCTCGGTCTGGCAGGACCCGCGGACACAGTACAAACCACCATAGAGGAGCATCATGGGGAAAAAACTACTAGTCTCGTTAGTAGTTAGGTCCTCCAAGGAACAAGTTGCGACAGTGGCTGTATACTTATATTGTGTACTTCCAACCAAAAAAAAGAGAGGCATTTTTGAAGGTATCGCTATAGCGCAATGTCTCATAACGAGACTGTACACGTCCACTACCGCGTTAGCTCATATAGAGCACGTTTGTTGAAAGGTCAACAAGATAATAAATAAAGTGCATTATATCAAGGTAAATAGTCATAGCTAGGGAGTTGAGCGTCGCATAGGCTTGGACATCGAGATCGCCCAGACCTCCATAATTCATGCCTGTGCGCCCCATTTTTTGTGGCCGTTTTGCGGTCCGCTACGCCGCGCATCAGCTGAACCTATTGCCTCATGTCTCGCGCCCACAGGATTCACCGACCCGTCTCTGGATTGCGACACCTGGCGCCGCGTATGAATTTTGCATATGGGGCTGGCTTGCACATGCCCGCCATCATCGCGCGGACAAACTCTCTGCACGCACTCTTCCATGCATCTTCCTTGGTTTTCCTACTGATGCCCTGGACTGTCCATTCTACCACCCTTCCACCTACCGGTTCTTTCACTCATGTGACGTCACCTTTGACGAGTCAATGTCCTTCTACGCACGCTCCCCTCACTGGGGTACCCCAGTGCCCCCCCTTCCCCTCTTCCTCACACCCACCCCTCCTCCTGGTCCCACGCCATTGATGTGAAAAGGAGAACGGGGAATGGATGAACTATGAATGAAGTGAGTACATATAGGAAACCCTAATTGGGTTGTACCCCCTATGGGATACCCCACTATAGCCTACACAACAGCATAAACTATATAATGTTCTGACAATTGATAGTCCCCCACCCCCCCCCCCCCCCACCCCCCCCCCCCCCCGTCCTGCCCCGTCTGGTATGTCGCACGTCATCCCCTTTCCCTCGGTCGCACCTCACGTGTCGTCTCATTCACCACAGTCACCTTCGTCGTCCTCCTAGTCACTAACGTAATCTTCGGTGCCATAGTAGCTGTTCACAGTGGACGCTGGGGGTGCTGGGTCTGGAGGTGCTGGCGTTGGAGGTGTTGGTTCTGGGTATGCTTATTCTAGGGGTGCTGGTGCTGGGGTTCCTGGCTCGGCGCTGGCGGTGCTGGTACTGGAGTTGCTGGTTTTGGGGGTGCTGGCGCTGGCAGGGCGGATACTGGAGTTATTGGTTCTGGGGGTGCTGGTTCTGGGGGTGCTGCCACTCGAGCTTCTACCCTTGTGGGCCTGCGACGTTCGGCGAGGATACAGCATCCGCAGCATCTACCCCAACATTCGTCGCCGCTTGTGACTGCACTTCGTCTACTTGGTCTCCCTTCCCATTCGACAGACCACTCACCGTCTCTCCTTGTTTACGGCCCCACGTTTCCTCCCCCGGACTCGTCCCCAGCTTGTTCGCCTCCTCGGTCACAGCTGTCCCCCGTCTTTTCCCTCCACTCTCAGGCGCCGTCGCCTTCCGGGTGCTCGCATCTCGTCCCCTCTTCCCGACCTCCACTCCGTGTTCCGCCTTCTTCTCTTCTTCCAATGTATCCTGTGTCGTCTCTCACTGTCTCGCCTCCACCTTTCTCTGACTTACTCCGAACTGGTCGCCCTGTCGTCTCCCATGTCCTTTCCTCCTCGTGAATGACCCTACTGCTTCTCCTTCGTCCGTCTCGGCTCTTCTCGCCGTTGTTACTGGCTTTAACTCCAATCGCCGCCTTTACTACACCACCCAGGTGGTGACTCCTCCTACTGCCCGTCCTCAGTCCGCCGGGGACGGTCCTGCCCTTGACTAAGACGTCCTAGAGGACAAGCAGTTGGAGCTGACCTTCCTTGCGACCGCTTCTCCTCACCTCTGTGCCATGCTACTAGCCCCTAAGAGAGACCCAGTCGCTGGTGGCATCCCGACTCCTCGCACGTACGCTGAGGCGGTCTCAGGTGAATGGGCCTCTCAATGGATAGCAGCCATGAATGCAGAGATGGCATCTTGGAGGTCCACAGGCACGTATGTCAATGTAGCTCCCCCTCCTCGGGCGAACGTACACGATGGCATGTGGATCTTCAAGGTAAAGCGAGCGCCTGAATCGCTGCATATCTTCAAGGCTCGCTAAGTGGCGAGAAGCTTTAGCTAACGTGTCGGATTAGACTTCTTCCAATCCTTCTCCCCCACCCCAAAGATGACCGCTCTTTGGGTTGCAGCACATTGATGCACAATGAGACTACGAGCTGCACTCGCTAGACTTTTCCACAGTCTTTCTCCGGGGCAGCCTGCACAAGCAGATCTGGCTCCGCCGTCCTCGAGACTTCACTAGCTCTTTCCCTCCAGGGACCCAGTGGAGCCTTCTATGGCCAATCTACGGTCTACGCAAGACTCCCCGATAATGGCACGACACGCTGCGTAATACTCTCGCTGACTCCGGGTTCTTCCCATCCTCTGCTGACCCTTCTTTATCCTTGTTTACGTCAGTGACTTGTTCTTTGCTACTGCAAGCGGGGTTGCTCTGGGAAGACTGGGTTGCTCAAGAGACACACGTGCACTGACCTTGGTGAACTGCGCTGTTATCTATGCTTGCAAATCACCATGGACAGAGCAGCGCGCCCATCACTCTGACCAAGTCACGCATGGTGCAGCAAGTCCTTTAGTGGTTCCGCCTTCAGTTCCCCTCCGCACAGTCCACTGCTCTTGCTCTCAACCATAAGCTCCTATTCCTGATGAGTCGGTTGAGCCTAGTGGTCCGTACGCAGAGCTTGTGGGGTGCCCCATGTACATGATGACTTGCACTCGCCAAGACCTAGCCTATCCTCTCAGCATCCTTGCTCGCTTTGTTGACTGGGAGACACTGCCTCCCGCACTGGACGGCTACTAAGAGTTTAACACACTATCTGGCAAGGACATCAGGCATGGGGCTTGTGCTTGGTGGACGACAACCAGTTCGACTGAAAGGGCACACTGACGCGTCGTGGGCAAATGACGAGGAGACTCGCAGGTCGTCTCAGGGCTATTGCTTTAGCCTGGACTCTGGAGCTGTGTCGTGGAGTTCAACGCGCGCGTCCTCTCTTGCTTCGTCCATTGCTAAGGCAGAGATCCATGCTGATGACATGGCTGTTAAGGAGCCTCGTTGGCTGAAGTTCTTGCTCAATGGCCTAGGTGAGGGACCT